TAAGAAATCAAGGTAAATGATGTCATGTATAGTCATGTATACCACCGCATATCAGGGACTCCATGATTTTTGAAGGTATTGAGAAAAGAACCACCGGTCGGTAACTTGAAGGTTCGCCGCGTCAACCTCCTTTGAAAATGGGTGTGATGTGAGCCAGCCTCCAATTTTCCGGTAGTTTTCCTCGACTTAGCGAGTGTGAGAACATCACGCTGAGCGGCGTTGCCAAGACTGAGGCTGCTTCCCTCAGTATGGCGGAATGGACCATGTCCGGGCCAGGAGAAGTGTCTTATTTTAAGTCCTGCAGTTTCCGGAACAGCGCTTAGGTCCACTTCGGAAAGTCCTGTGGAATTGCAGATGAAATTGTCAACAATAAAGTTAATGTCGGTCGGTTGAAATGTCTGGGAGTACTGTTCAGCCAGAAAGTTAGCGGCGTCGCCATCGTTGTTGGTCGGGCCGTTAAGACCTACCAGTTGGGAAACTCCAGTTTCAGCTTGACGAAAAGAAGCTGCATAACGGAATAAGCTTTTGGGATTAGAGGCAAATTTGTCCATAAGCTTTATCTGGTACTGAAGCCCATCTTCTATTAGAGCCTTCGTGCATATGTTCCTGATATGTTTATATTGCCTGTACTCTCCGTTGTTGTCAATTCGTTTGTATTCCTCCCAACAGTGCCTTTTGCGGCTTAGCAGGCAAAGGGTACGGTTCTTGATTATTGTAGGTGGCTTGCAGCTTTCGGGAACCGTTTTAGGAACTGAATGGTTTGTAGTACGTAAGAGCGTGTGCAGCAAGAAGTCCCAATGACCACCCACATCGAGTTGGGGGTGAACATCCCAAACCACCTGTTGTAGAGCTGGCTTATTCAACCGTTTAAAATTCCAACGCAAGTTATTGGTGAGATATCTTAGCTTAGTTTTGCTGACAAAACTGAAGACTATGACGGCATGATCGCTCTTTCCCAGAGGAGCCAGGATTAAGAGGTTGTCAACAAGGAATTCTTCGTTTGTGAATACACAGTCTAAGCGCGATGGTGCCTGACTGTTTCTCCAACGAGTTGCCGACCTCACATTTTCGTACAATCACAAGTCATCGATGGGATTGAAGAACCGAGCTTCAATTGAGTTGTCACCTCCAGTATACGTGTGTTCCGAGGAAGTTGACTCTAGGGAGATTAAAGTCCCCTAGAATCAGGATGTGTGTGAAACCGAGACGAGTAGAGGGAGATAGTCCTTCCAGCATACGACTATCGTACTCGATGTCGGCAGTTGGCTTCCTGTAAATGACTCTGACTAGACACCTTGAAGTACTAGACAATCTTACAGAGCACCATGTAGATTCCTCAAGATTGTTAAACTCGAGGTTATGAACTTGATGCACCTCCAAGCAAGAACGTATGTAAACAGCTACTCCGCCCCCATATCCTGATGTTCTGTCATTGCGGAACAAAGACATCCCAGGTAATGCTAACTCATGGTCCGAGAACTGAGAAGATATCCAGGTTTCAGATATTCCTATCAGATCGGCCTTATTAGCATTGCTAAGTTCACGTAGTTCATCCAATTTGTTTGGTAGACTTGCGGCGTTCATATATAAGCAATTTATGCTTTCAATTTGGAACGCGTGAGCTTCGTCCTGTTTGTCTGTATGAGCCTTACGTGAATGGACAGGTAGCCCACCTATATGAGGTTTGCCGAGGTGGTAGGCCCTGACCTTTACACGTTTTTTTATCGTCTAGACAGTCCACAAGTGGAATGATCAGCTCCAACTTGCGTTTGTATTTGGTCCTAGCTTCGTATGGCCTATCCGGGTGCATGTGGATTCCAGGTGGAAGTCGACATCTGTTGGCACGAAATGCTTCCGGAGTTGCAGCCGCCATATGGGAAGATGGGAAGGTTATCTTCATTAGACGGGGTCTACGATCACCATCCTTCTTGGCTAGTCTCGTCACATGCTGGGTCAGTATGTGTTTGAGCCTCAAGGACTGTTTGATGAATTTCCATTCCCTGATGTCAGTCTTTGATTGAGTGGGGTCAGTATTTTCCGGACATTGAGCTGTGAGACCCGAGTTTGCTGAGGGAGTTGAGTACCGTCGTCGTAATCATGGTTCTGAGTTTCAGCGTGTCATCATTAATGCTGTTGCATGCTCCGTCGTTGGTAGACCTGTTGACATCCCTGTTCCCGTTTTCAATGCGCTCTCTCGTTTGTCTACCCATTTTTTGACTGTCTTTTCCCAAGTTTGCCGACAACTTGCTCTCCAGACTTGTCAGTAGGACAATAATATTACTCAGCAAGACTGCAACATCGGTGCTGCACGTAACATATCCCCACTTATTATCCGACTTGGTGAGTCTGTTGTAAGCAGTTGTTGTGAGATCTGTGCACGCTTCGTGGAACCAACCCTTGCAGTTGTCGCACTGCATGCCAGATGTAACAGCAAAACGGCATCCAGTTCGTTTGCATGAATATTTCATGACTGTATTGACGTAAACTGTGTTGTAGATGTTAGCAAAAGCCTAAGACCGTAAAAAATACACGAAAAAAAATACTGAAAACGGACAAAAATGGATAAAACGGATGAGATAAACTGAACTAGTCTTTAGGTGAAAAACTGAAAAAAACCGAATAGTGAGCTGAGGAAGAACCACAGTTAACTAATAAATTGGGTGAAACTCAAAAAAGTTTATCTCAGGATAGATTCTTTTAGTCAGAAATGGTACTTTTGTTGCGTAAGAACACAGCAAAAGTTTGATAAATGCAAATCACGTTAGGACTAAACTTCCCGTTCGAAAAGCGCGGTCAGATAATAATTACTATCTGCTCATTTTTTTACTAACATCGAGAGTAAACTCCCGGCGTTCTAACAGGCATCTAAGACAGCTGGAGATAATCCATGCGGGATGTGAGGCAGTTAGCCATCGAAGACAATGGGAGATGGACGTGGAATTTTGTGGATTGGTTGAAGTTAGACATTAACACCGTCGTGTACCAATTCAGCGGTCCAGAGGTTAAGCATTCGTGCGAAAAACCGAGAGTCACATGCACGAGTCTCACATGCGTGACCATCAGTACGGAATACCGAGGATTCCCATACTAGAGCAAATCAAAAGTTCAGTACTTTCAGGCTCTTAATATTGGTCTTAGACAAGTCCATGTTTCCGATCAAATCAATTAATTCATTTATTCATTTATCTTTTTGCTTCTTTAGACAACTATCTATTCCTAGACCTATATTTGAATCCTTTCATGTTATTTTTCATGCCACAACCAACCAGTCGCGTGCCTGGTAATTCGTTGGCCTCCGGTTCGAGAAATCCTAATTCTCTTAGATGAATGTACTGACTTAGATCACAAAATGTCCAAGCCTATTAATAACTAAGAAACGAACTGGAACTGATTAAGTAGAGTAACTAGATCACCATTTTTTGAACATGATCAAAGACCTGTTAAAGCATAATAGTAGTACGGACTGAACACAAAGACAACAACTGATTTGCACAAGCTCTTTACAACGATTTCGGTAACACGTAAGCTATCACATTACCCACCATGGATTAATAATGAAACCTGAGAGCTGTTGAGACGTAGGAAACACTTCTGGTACTCATTCTTGTCAACAGGATACACATCATTTAAGTGTGAATATAAAAAATGCGGAATATATGTGACAAAACCACAGCTAAATCTCGTACTACTTACGAAAGACAGTCGGAATAAGATAGCCGTACTTTTATGAAACGATTGTTTTCGTATCTTAAACGGCGAGAAAAACGTAGTGATAGTAATCTCTCATTACTGTTACACGAAAATCCAGATTTACTAGCTGAACCAGATCAGGTAAAACTTGGGATGCCTTCAAACTATTTTAGCAAAGTCTACTCGACGTGTATTGTTACAAATACTTGTCCCAATCACACCGCGATACCAGCCATAGTATCTGTACATGTGACTGAGAACAAAGAGTGAGGGTCAATGGAATTCTATCCTAATGGAAGCCGACCAAAAGCGGTGTACCCCAAGGCACTACCTTAGGCCCTCTGATTTTCCTTCTCTACGTTAATGAATAACCGCTATTAATTAAGTCTTTGACATTATTATTTGCGGATGATGTAAAAATCTAGAGAACTATAAGAAGTGAGGCTGATAATTTTGACCTCCAAGCTAACTTAGATGAAGTGCTTAGATGGGCCCGAGGTTGAGGTTTAGGAGTTAACTCTAGTAAGAGTTTTTTCATGCACTTCGCACACGTTAATGGTTACAATTATACTATTGATGGCACACCTTTTCCGCGCGTTCAAGAACACAAAAACTTAGAATTAATAGTGAGTCACGACTTGAAAACAATTACGTATCGCAACGCAGTTGCTGCCAAAGGTTATCGTGCGTTATGTTCACTTCGCCGAGCATTTAAATGCTTTGACGAGGAGATATTTCGAATTTTATGTCGCCTGTGTAAGACCACACTTAGAGTACTGTATCCAAGCAGCTAGCCCATGTCTGATTAAAAATACCAATTCACTTGAGCGTGTTTGGCATATGGGAACAAAATTAGTGAAGGGTCTTTCTAGACTCCCTTACGATGAGCGCTTAAAACACGTAAACCTTTTCCCTTTGTCGTGTCGTAGGACGTGTGGTGATCTTATAATGGCATTTCAAATTTTTGATTATGATTTGTGTGTTAATATGTCCTACTTTTTTGCTTCTTTCAGCAATAATAATCTCTGAGGTCATAGCAAGAAGGTTCGTAAACCACGACCTAATACACCTAAAGTGGGTCACGTTTATTCTCATCGATGACTGGAACGCCTTACCCCAACAAATGGCATCAGCCTCGTCAGTGAATATTTTCAAGGAGAAGCTGGACCTTCACTGGAAGGCGATCTGTCAGGATTAACTCAGGTTTACCAACCTACTGTCCTTGTTACTGAAGACTGAAGATATTGGATATTGGACCGTCGATTTAGTAACGGTATCGTGCATAATATGAATATTTTTTGTCTACAATAATGTCAAGTATAATTTATTCTTGGGTGTCACATGAGTTGAACCTACATGGTTAGCTGTATTCTTTATTATGCCATATCTTCATTTTATAGGTCAGCCACTGGAGAAGTTATTTGCAAACGGTTACTTTTTGGGAAAACTTTTGCACAAATATAACAAATTTCAGAAATTGTATCTCCTAAAAAATTCCAGGTATAAGTGACTTTTCTAACTTCCATCAAGCTCACCGGAATCGATCATTCAAAATTATTCCTACCTCCGATCAGCACTCCACGAAATGGGAATAAATATTGATGCACACCTAAGCCATGACATAATCACCGAAAAACCTGGCAGTATACAACAAGTTCTGTACCAGATTTACGTTATTTTAACTGGTGTGGATGGTTTCAACCGATGTGATACCATCGACTTCAGTAATTTCGAGCATACACAACTGAATACTCTCCAAAATCTATCTTACAAGAACGTGAGTGGTTATATCTATGATTAACAGATCACGATAAGTTTTATTTAGGCTTTTGGGGTCTATGAATATCTAAAAGGCTGGTATAGCCATATAGTTATTATGTTTATATCATCTACATTAAAAGGATTAAAAAAGTGAACACTTTATTTCGCATGAATATTTTTAATATCATGCATGTCTTTAACCTGACAAGAGGACTTAACACAATTCTAATTTTGGATTTAGCTAGGTGACAGATAACACATGAGACGGTGAAATAATTTATCCATAACTAGACCTCAATATAACACTGTACATCGAGAAAACCTGTAAATCTACCTTTTAAAATTGAATAATATGGTTTTGAAGATATTTGGGAAAAAAGACCATATATAGCTGTGTTGATATTGGCAACAAACTGGTAGAAGGAAATATAACATGTGAGAATAAATTGAACGAGACCTTTTCGATTAACACCGTCTGCTATATATATATATATATATATATATATATATATATATATATATATATATATATATATATCTTACAGACTAGATATTAATGTTTCATCAAACTACTATTAGAGTATGGTTAGTCAAAGAGTACTTAGATGTTAGCTTTATCAACAGATGATCGGACTCATTCCTTCAGGTGTTTATTCTGAGGTTGTTTCATAGATGCATCTCACTGCTCTATCGTCTTGTACACTTCAAACCGAGTTAAATCTCATTTTGCCTATTGTTGAGTACAAATCTCAAAAATCGCTTTGTTTTGTTTCTTATAATTCAGGTCTTTACAGCGTTTTCATAAGCCGTGCAACAGAGAATAGTAGCCAGCTTATGAGTCAATCTGGACTAATTATTTGCAGTGTTTTATATTTCACTACGACATCCAAAATAAGCTCTGTGTATGAAATCCAGAGACTATATAGTCCAGTATATTATACCTTCCCAAAAACAAACACACAGCTTTAAAAATATTTTGACTGTCGTTGATAACATTACAGCCATTGGTGATTACATTGTTGTAGTTTTAGATACGTAATAACTGATCACAGATGATAGTGACAGTCATATCACGACTTCACACTGCCTAATAAACAACAGCTAGTTTACCTGGTATCCGTAATAAACACCTCGACCAACTCCTGCTTCAAATCAATTTGTTTCTGTTTCTGAAATCGGTTTTGTTAGTAAAGAGTTTCCGTTGCGATTGAAATTGAATTTAAAGTTTATGAACCTCTTCTTGTAATTTCAGAAACGGCTAGTTGTAATCACTCTTTTCGTCCCGTATGCGCTTATTTATGCGTTTGTGAAACTGTTCTAACTGAAGCATGAGTAACTATTGAAGGAAAGTGGTTTAAACATTAATTGACTGACTGTCATATGGGAACAAATATTTTCGTGAATATAAGGCAAAACAACATGTACTTTGCAATATTTAGATTGTTTGATATTGGTTCGTGTGTAATATAATTAATCAATGTTTTTTGTTGGATAAATATGCAGAATTTTTACACAAAACTTAAAGCTTAACCATATTTGAAACTAACGAAGGTAATTGCTTTTACTGGAACAGTTGTAGAATAGACAATATAAAGTGAAAACCGGCAGATCAAGCTTGACAGCGTACGAATATTTATAAATTTTGTCTATCTTAGTGTTCAGAAATGATATGTATCCAGAATTACTAAATCTCCACTAGGCCATGACCTCAAACATAATACATTTGGTTTTGTGATTCAGTATATGTACAAAAGAGTGAGAACGGCAGATTACAATATAAAGACATCTAAAAAGCTGGTTTTATACTTGAAAAATATTCGAGAATTTATTAAAAACTGGAAATTGTTTAGAAGCCAAGACCTGTCTGAGTAGTAATCAGTTGAGACAGTGTATAAGTATCACACATACGACAGTAAAACTTAAGTAACATGTCATAAGTAATGGGTAAACAATACAGACTGATTGACATTTTAAAGGTAGAAACATTGACAGAAATATTCACACAATTAGTCTTTGACCATTTCTACGGATTTTGAGAGTGACGAATTTTTTACCAAAAGCACAAATCCCGCTATCACAGAAGATTATGGGGAGTACGGTTAGTCGAAAAACATGTTCTAGTGGTATTCATAATAAAAATCAAGCTGATTATTGCTATACAAGAAGTCGTATAATCCAAAATCCTTAAAATTAAAAAGCGAATGGAAAAAAGTTGCTTTATTTAGTGCAAATAAGTTCTCGCATAGCTGTGTAACAAAGGGAAATCGGCTATTTAATATGTAGCTCAAAACCTACCCCAGTTTAACCAGTTATTACGGGCTCACTTTAGTTTTTTATACCCTTAAACAGATATGTGCTGTAAAGGCGTATTTATAGACGTTTAAGCATTCCATCACCCAAAACATATAGAATAATATGATTACAGTCGGGTTGTGGGGTAATTCTATTTAGTACTCCAGCAAATGAGCTTGCAAATTTCATTGAAATGTGGTTTCATAATGCTGTACTCTGAAAAATGGCCGATAAAGTCATCACTTTTATAACTGTGGACGGTTCCTCAGATTACCTAATGATCTCAACTGGCACTGTTTCGTCTTTTTAAATACCATAAATTGGACACCTAAATGATAATGCCTAAAGAACAGTATTGTGCAAAATGTATACAAAATTATAACTACAGTCAAATGTGTAATTGCGTACTGACGGACCAGATGGATAATCTTGCATTTTAGTTTTTAACTAAAAGGCAAAGAGGGTCATACAAATAAAATACCTGCAACACGTTTTAGAAGGATTACGGTTGTCTTTAAGTCATTCAAGCCTGAATTTTAAACTTTTCTGCATCATTGCCTTGATGAATTCATATTAATTGTCATTTCTGGAACACGTTAGGAACATTTATAGGATTTTTATGAAGGCTCATAACTTACCGATAGTTTATCTAAAATGTGGTGAATTTTAATCACTGTGTGAGGATTTCAATCGTTTTTTTCAGTCTATAAACCAGTAAACTTATATATGAATGAATAAAAGGTAGTCGAAGGGTTTCTGATAATCTGACTATGACCTCTTTTGAACTCCAGAATGTAACGCGGAACATGTTACACAACAGTTCAACGGACTCGTCAATTAGGATATAATTATCTGTGTAACATTCAATATTTCTTTGCGCAAAAATAAGCAAAACCTTACATATTTGTAAGGTTTGGAATAACTTGATAATTCTTCGCCGACTGTAAACAAAGTTTGAGATCATCCGGATATCCTGAGCAACTGAGAATTTGCTTTGAAGTTATTACCCACGAACCAACTGAGAGTTATTTCCAACAAATTACACGTTGTCATAATAGTGAAAAGCTTCTCTTATAATTTATAACGTACTTAATTTAGAGAGTTCATAATAGTTGACACTTTGCACATATCGTAATGTGAGTTGTAAAAAAAACTTGAGGAAACGGGAAACGACACACTAATGTTTACTCAATATTCGCACTATCAGCGTTCTTTATTTTTACATGACTAGAACAAAACGCAAATGTAATGGTTCAAAGCACATTGAGTTATATTCCCACTGGGAAACTCATACGCGGCAAGAATTTTGTGATTAAGGATTAAATTTTGCATCTATATATGTTCATTTCATGTTTTAAGTCGTTGGCATCACGGGATTGTATTAGTTGAACTAGTCCTCTTAACCATTCCGTTGGTGTTGGTAATGGAGTAGATTGTATTCAAGGACAATTGTGTATGTTTGACAGAAGCAGAAAGTACTGCTCACTTCAAACTGCGGAAATAGTGCAGAGATACTACTTAATTGTATTTCTAACTAGTTTTTAATTTTAAATATGCTGTTTTTTAATTTGATCGTCCTTATGTTTAAATAGCAACTAAAGCAACTCATTCCGAGACAATCCGATGTTAGTTTGGCGCAAATTCTGTCACGTTATGAACGACAAATGAAAATAAATGAGAAGCGAATTAAAGAGGCTGATTTAATGGACACATTAGAGAAAGATGCTCTCGTCCAAAAACGTCGAAATTCAAGACTTCAAAGAAGTCGTGACTTGCGTATGATGCAATCTGAATTAATGGCCAAATTAGAGTAAGCAGTCGCTTATATTTTGTTGTAAAATATATTGCAAATGATAACAATATATTGGTTTATCTTATATGTTCTAAATTTATGGTCTAATTGTGAGCGAAATGGTTTTAAGGATATTTTGTAAACCATGAGAAACTAATTGACATTAAGAATCAAGCCATTTTACGAACAACCAAAAATGACTAAATGCCGTAAGGATGTTTCTCTATATCAGAACTCTATATCAGGCCATACTTACGGGCTTGCACGGAATCAATCTCAGGCCTTTCAGAAGTCACAAGGGGTATGGTTTTTTTCGTCACTAACTAGGAATTTTGTATCCAAGATGCTTACTTTGTTTGATACCGCGTCATCCATATTGCTACTTAAATCTTTTATTTTTAATTCACTAACTCCTTGTCAGTTTAATTCACTTTTAAACCAACTGATGAAGTAGGCCAAGGCTCAACATATCTTCCGACGGATTTACAGACTTAAAAGATATGGAGAAGGGTTTTAAGCATATGACATTTGCCGTATAGATTTAGTACTGATAAATTGAAACAATTAGTATTATCCAATGATTAGAATGAGTAGATAATTCAAGTGTGTTCATTCTTATAATTTTCTGGCTAACTTCGTTTAGTTTTCGATATAACATAAGACATACTATTGTACATATATTCTAAATTTTACTCAAAAAAGTTCCAAGAATCACTTAAATAAAATTCGTCTAACTAGAAAACCTACTTTATCAAACTTGAGTTAAAATCATTACTTTATTCGTTATCTGTGTACTGATGGCTGCAGAAACATTTGCGAAAGTGCATAAAATAATTTAAGTGGTTAATTTTGCTCTATATTGTACATCTTTTACAGTCGCGAAAATTGCTTAAGTTATTAGCAAAAACACCTTTCATGTTAACGAGTTTGGCACTTATGAAATTATGGTACTTGTTTATTTTTTCCACCAGATCTTTGCCCAATGGAAGTTTATAAGACGAAATTAGATAACTATTCCGAACGCAATACTTTTAAAAATAAGTGAACATTGATTTTGTAAACACTTAGACTTAGAAAAACAAAATATTCTAACATTCCTGGTTCCAATACGTTAATATATGCTAAAAAATCATTGCTTAGGGTTTAAGGTGAGAAATGAAAAGTGACTGAAAGTTGTTTCTCCCTGTCCCCTCAGTTTTGAACCTCAAATTATCTCTACTGATATATATCCATATGCTAAAACGACTATATATATATATATATATATATATATAGAAGGGAGAAAACTAATATTATCACTTTCAACCAAACATCAAACTTAATTGCAAATCAAAACCTCAGACCTGAAAATATGATTCTGAAACATGAAAAGGATGGTTCTTCTTCCGAAACCGTATCAGTGATAATAACCTGTATCTAACGTTTTAAAGCTGTGATATATTCTTTCTTAGCCTGTGATCGATTATGATTTGACGATAGGTGTGTAGTCGTTAAACATATACGTCCAATGTTTTAAGGTACCACAAGAATTATGTGTCTCAATAGTTGAGGAAAGGTTCATGTATCGTGCTTTCATATCACACTTTATGGGTAACGATTAGTAAAGCTATTCAACTATTGAAACCGAAGTAGGTGAAGTTATGTTTGTACCTTCAACCCGGAGGTTGAAAATCAAATACTTCAAACGTTAACCAACTTGTTGACATTTACTATGAGGAGTCAAAATATTGTTTAGCATATGACTATTACGAATTGGTAAGTCATTTTCTAATATGACTTGATAAAATTTTAATGAACAATATTTTGAAGACAAAACTTACTTTTTACCCGATTCACCAACTTTTTATGCTCAATTTTTAAGGTTTATCTTCAGTACTTACAATATGACTAATTTTCTCAACTCATCCCTAGAGCATCTATAATCAATTTACCAAAATCTGTTCGGAACAAACTAACAACTAAAAGTATGGACAGGCAACAATCCAAGCAAACACATACAGTAATGTTCTTATTATTATGATTATTTTCCGCTATATTGACATGTATTTGTAAAGCGTGGGCCTTGATTTTGAATCGATAAATTAATAACTCATGATGTATAGTTATTAGTAATCATTAAAACTCCTTGCACATTCTCAGTCAGCTAACACGTTTATTTTGGCGCTAAGATGGTCTGAGGTCAGTCAATTCTACTGATTGTCGAATCTGACACATATGTGCGTCAGCTTAAATTTCTATAGAAAGGTCAATGAATTCAACTGAGTATGATAAGCTACTTTTATTCAATCCACTTATTTGTGTTTCAACTCAAGATGTTTCCAACCACTTTTTTGAGTGATTTAAGACTTCGTTCCAACCGAATTTATAATTATAATAACTCAGTAAGTTCATTCGTGTTAGTATTTCTATGGGCAAGAACAGTAAGCAAGCGAACTAGTATCATATGACACTGAGTAGAAAAGATTTACCTCTAAAAAAGTGGTGTTAAACTTTCCAAAAACATATGGGTACGAAATCTCCAATAAAAAAAGATGATGTAATAAGTCTAAGACTCAGTATAATCAAATGATATGTTCCACGTTGTAAGAAAGATCTCATCTTTAAGCAATCAGCCATGATTGATTTCAAGTAAATTATTCCTGGTCTTCTTTATGATATTACCAGGACCTTGTTTTAAATCCTTACATTTTATTATACTACTGAGATGATTTCTCAGTCACTTCGTGAATTACACCATTGTTTAATCTTAACCAAATAATTCCAGTCCTGCTAAAAACAAAACACTATTTCAAGTATGTTTTCTAAAACGTTCAACTAATATGAGTAAGAACTTAGTTAAGGCGTTCAGTTTATTGTACTTTAGGTGTGACATTTTGCTTTAATAAAATTTCTGAACATCATAAACAGATATATTTACAGTTCATCATAGCTATCATTCAATAACTCAACAAAATACATCGTAATGTAATGTATGATAACTATCACATTTCAGGTTTATTTAATAATACCTTATTACATTCACAGAATAGTGTCAGTTTAAAAGAATTGGATGAATTTGACTCGCGTAAAGAGAAATGTGAACTGTGTAACGGCGATGTATCAAAAACAGGAGACAAATCTAGCGAACAATTAAGTCCAAATTTAACACTTAACACCTCAACAGACGATTTTAATAAAGCGACAATGAATTATATGAAACAAATTCATAAAAGAGTTCACGAAGAAAAAAAAGCAATATGTGAGCGTCAAAAAAGAAGAAGACGAGTTATTATGGATATACTGGAAGCAAATCACATTCGACAAGTAAGTTGTCTTTAAAGTGATTGTGATAGAGTTAAATATTAGAAGAGAAGCTATTAGTCTGTAAGTAAGAACAAAATACATTTTAAGTGCTTAACGTAAATTAGAATTGTTAAATAAAGAGCACAAGGTTACATTGGATATATACCCACAATAGGGAGGAGATTTTAGTTACTGAAATTGGATTTCTGATCCAGATTGAGCAAAGGTAGCTTAGCCTTAACAGAGTTTAAACAATCCCGTAAAAGTGATTAAGTAATGGTTATAAATGGTAGCACAAAACACTTATATTTAGACAGAGAATTCTTCATAATGTTATAGCAGTGAAATCCCTTTGCTTTTTGTTGGTGAGAATGTTGACACATTAGACATTTTCACTAACAATACTATACTCAGAGTTCTACAGAGACCGCATTTTCTTGAAATATATCTCTTATAACACTGTCAGGGAGGATGACCTTATCTAAGTTTTTATGAATGAACAAAAATTATCCAAGTATTCCAGAATTTAATTGTCAAAGATTCTGATCACTTACAAATTCTTTTCATTGTGAACTAAAATCGGGTAGGGATTTAGTGAAAGGAAAAAATAATGAACAGCCGTTTCCTATCGATATAAAGTCAACTTTAATGATTTCCAGTAAATCGGACTGTAATTGTAGTGGTTTTCATTTAAATTAGTTTTTCATAAACTAATTAAATTAGCCAAGCTTATAATTGACTTAAATATAAATACATCCGTACCAAAAATTATAATACAAAAGTTTTTCTTAAACTTATTTTTAAACCATAATTCTTTGTGATTATTTAATCTTAGGAGGAAATCAGATCAGAACAAATTATGCAACGATTATCACGTCAGTCTCACTTAGAAAGTCGTATTTCTGTACAATTAGAACAAATTAAACAAGAAAAATCAATAATTTTGGAAAATCGCCTTGAACGAGAGCGACAATATGAAACTAGAAGAGAATTAGAGTTTCAATTAGCAATGGATCATGAAAGAGTAAGGCCAATTACAAATAAGATTATTTTAAAGGAATAAACTGAAGGTTCATAAAATGTTTTCCTTCCTGATATTTAATTTTATCCCCACTTTCAAAAATTCATACTATTTATGGTAAGTAGTTTTATTAAGGTTTCATATAATTTATGAGTAATAAGCATTGCAAACCAAGCCCAACTGAAGAACCATTGAAAACCAGGTAGCAGTGAACGGCTGTTTTACTTCCGTCCGAAACTAAATGGCAATATGTGCTTACTACCTTAGCCGGTAGGAATTCTTGAATCTGTATTCCAATTAGCTTATGTATTTGATCACCCCAAAGACCAGATTATGTAATATTAGGTTACTAGGCTACTACCAAATGATCTGCTAGCGTCTTATAAGAAGTAACCTCAGTAGTAGTGATTCTTACAGTGATATTAGATTATGTGAGTTTGAATATTATAGGGGCATTGTTGTTATATCCAAACAATAAATAAATGAATAGTGACTGTCAGGAATTATTTATGGCCTATTACTATATATATTCTGATTGGATAACTGGTGAGTAAGTAGATTATATGTATATTCATATTTCTTTCATCATAAGCTTTCATTTGACCTATTGGTGCTGTTATACGATATACAATTCTTAATTTATTCACACTCTGTTAGTTACAGTCACCTATGCACGCAGCCACTTTTGGCTTGATGCGATGCAGTCTGGTCTACTTGTATGAAAACTACATGTGTTTGAAATGTACTATTCACACAGCGGAGGGTGATATCTGTGTTTTGAACTGAACATGTCGGGCTAAGCGAGAAGCTGCTATACAGAAAACCGATAAAGATTCAGAGTTGACTCAAGGCTACTCGTGCTGGTTAACGCATTATTGGTTTAACACATGGACAACGTCAGAGAGGTCGGTATGCTGGTTTTGGAGACTTTATCATGTGATATTTGATGGGTCATAGGACACAACAATCATATTCATAAAAGCTAAGGAAACACCTCGATATATAGTACCAGACAGCCCGAATCCGAGATTAGACCTTCTTACCGAGTGCTTCCAACTATTTGATAGCTAAAATAATTTGATTTCTGTAAATCAGTATATTATTACACAAACTGAGAAAATAGTTAAAAACACCCTGGAAATAATGAATTGGTTCAAGTAGTCAGAAACTTAAGGATCAATTATAAGGGAGAATCTACCAAACGGCTGAACACAAATAACACAGGTAGTGAAAACATTAGTAACACTGGAAAGCTGCAAAAAGGAAAATGACGACAAATTGTTGGTGAAATAAAATGTTGGATAAGAAATAAATTCACTGATACCGCTACGGACAACTTTACAGTGAGGCCTGTAGCCTGGAGGTATTACCTACGGTCGTTTCACTAGTTTAAACAGAAAATTTACAGTTTCTACGACGAATAAATGAGCTATCTGAGAGTATACGGATTTTTGTAGTAGATAATAATGACAAATCAAGGTTACAAATTGCTTAGTATTTCTGAAAAGTTGTTAGTTAATTTCTGCTGAACTCAACTCTAATGTTGATTACTTCGTCAAGGTAGTCTGAGATCATGGATGAAAAATCACCAAACAGTTCTCTTGGCTTTACGTTAATGACCAAACCTACTCAGTTTAGATTGAATTCACTCAACTGCTCACTTTTGTTGTTACCATATTTTACTGTCTCCCTTAAATCAATGGAAGGTTTATTGAGGAGTCAGCGCATTTTTCGGTTAATAATTTGTACCTGAAAGGATGCCAAAAGCATTGGCGTTAAATAAATGTAACACAATGTCTACTATTAAATTTAAGGCTAAATAGAATATGTGTTTATTGAACTGTCCCATTAAGATATAATGCTGCGAAATACACGACACTATGAATAAAAAACCCATCACCAACAATATTGTTTGAGTTCACTAACATTATGATTGTTGATTTTGAATTTTAATAATAGGAAATGCTGCTTCAACAAAAAAAGGAAGAAAAAGATAAACTTATAGTATTAAAACAACTTTGGTTTGAACAAAAAGCTAAACGACAACAAGCTTCTTATAAGCGTCATTATGAATTTATTCAAAACGATATCATACCATTATTATTACAATTTGTTATGAATGTTGCTGAATATCGGATGTTCACAGGGAAGTAAGTTCGGAAGGTAGACGGTGTATAACTTAAAAAACACCTTTGTAATTTTATATATACTGAAAATTAAAGAAGGAATGAAAACAAAATTTTTTTTCAAACAATCAAGTTAAAATCTTAATTTTATGTTTCATGTCAAGATTTAGAGATGAGCTGTAGTCCCACTTGATTGAAGTCCTTGAGATACTGGAAATCAGTGGTTTTTAATTTTAAGGATTGAGATTTTAAAATGACCGCAATATAAGTAGAGTTATATTTCATTCAAATATGCTTTCTGAACACTACCGTTCAGATAATTTATTTTCCTATCTTCTTGTGCTACTGAAAAGTACATTACTTTGATAAAGGAAGATTTCCGTAAAATCCTATATTATTTAGAAGTAAATCAAATACATAATTATTAGCTGAAGAACTACTGAAAACAATGGAAAAAAGATAGCTGTACCATCCTATTTGAGAATTCTTCAGGTGTCCTCTCAAAAATGAAGTTGAAAACATGGACTATTAGATTACGATTCACCAATCTAAATCTTTCATATCGCAAGATCTGATAGCCATGGATATATGAGCCCATCACTGAGGAGTATTAGACTGAAGCGAAAAGCTGTATAGAATTAACCTGATCCCAGATAAGGAAGAAAATTTTCTCTAACTACTTAAATTGAGAGAAAAGTTTGGTAGATTATTATTATGAACAAAAACATCTTCAGTGAATAACAATACCATCTCTAATAAGAACAGAGTTAGGATCTAAAATACTTTTTGACAAAAAGTGGATATCAATTTTACCGGCATGACTATAATTTATAGACGAACCAATTAGTGTTAGGATAACAGGTCTTGGATTTTGGCACGAAATTCAGTCATCCAATTGACAAAACGGCGTTTTGATACTTTGGCTGATGTCAGCTCGTGATAAAAACCCTGAATCTAATTGCTAACCCTAACAATCAACTGTAAATCATAATTCTAATCCCCCGCTCTGGCTTACAACTTTCATTTAGTCCTCGTCAATAGGTGAACATTCTCAAGGTCAATTTAGCGTCGCTCAAAGGTTGTCCTTAAATCATAGTCTCATCATCTCACTTGAATCTAATTTATTTTGAGTAAATTAAAAGACTGACAAAATAACTAAACTTATATTATTGTAACTTACGAAGTTTAATTGCCTCTAATATATGGCATGAAATAGAAGTTGCACTGTATTACAATGTCTTTTGTTACCCCTGTTCAATTCATTTCGCAACGGATTTTCTCCCATAGACGACACTTTCGTCCTCCAACATTTTAGAGGTCGATTTATAACATGCAAATAACGACGATGAAAATGCTGACAAAAAGTAGTCTTCTGATCGTCTTGAACAACAATGTAAGCATATTTAGGACGCATTTTACCTCTGTAGTTGTAAGATATTGCTTCAGGAATGGTCAGCGTTAATGCCTGAACTAATGTTAAGGAATAAAGTAATTGAGTGTGATGATCACTTTGTGTATGCTGGAAGTCTTATCAGCTTTGGTGAGTTGGTGTCTAAAGAAACCTCTATACGAATTCAGAAGGTTTTCTTAGCTATAGCCAACATGCATCACTCGTGAAGTGTTCATCCGCAGTCTGCTGCTTTTTACTTTATGGCCGTAAAATGTGGTTTTTAAAAATACAGGATATTCATAGGTTACTAGCAGTTAATTACAGCTATCTCCTAAGTACTGCTCTCATATCGTGGAACGACCGAATTAACGGTGCTGAGGTTAGGCTCAGAGTACTAAGTAAGGATGGCGAGTTAGCTGATGAGTTAATGAGTCTTCATTAACTGAGGTGGTCGAGATATGCATTCATATGATTAATCACCGCTTACCTCGTAGTAGATATGTTTTCTGGCGTAAAAGTGAGTTAGAATGACTCTAGGGGCATCCGAAGCAAAAAGTAGCATCAGTTTATAAAACTACTGGTTTTTAGTTTGAGCCATGCAGATGGGTTAAGACTACTTTGTTGTGATCTACACGAGGATAGTAGTCAGTGGTTGGTAACACTGGATGGCATGGACAATGGTGCAAATGCATTCACTCTTAATCTTGCCATTCTATCATGTATGCCTTTTTGTTCCATCTTTTCGAATCATGTTCTCAATATTTAATCTTTCTCATTACCATTGGTATTAATTTATTTAAATTCATCTTCTGTTCATCTTGTTAGCTTCATCTCGTTGTGCTAATATGGTATGACAGCTTGGGCTAAATTACACTAGTACCAAGCTCCACAATGATGATAATTGACTGATTGAATTACTTATCTAAGTAATGTATATTTTTAAATGTTTATTTTAAAGGCTAATTCCATTAAGACTTTTCCGTCAATGGAAAATCGAATTCGTAAACGGTCTGTTAGTGAACGACACATCATCAACAGAGGATCAGGCAGACGATCCTGTTGAAGAAGAAATGTCGAATGTGGCTAACCAACTTAAATTAGAAAAGAATCAAATCATCGAAGATCAACAAGAATTACTAGATGATTGTGATTTGGATGAGTATCAAGTAAATCAATAAATCTTTAATCATCACTTCCCATTTTTTGTCTAAATGTATCTTTCTGTCATTTTACGTTTTACTTGAATTAATTTTTAATAATCTTTTCATTATGAATTGAAATTGGCTGAAAAGTCATTGAAAATCATATAGCATTTGATATTAACTTTGTTCTAGTTTGAAATCCATCATTAGCGCTCATCTATAACAACATATATGCTTGAATTTATGATCACAGAGGTCATTATAGATACAATACTTACTGCCTATTTAACTGAAATACAATGACCCGAGTTTCCAACGTCAGTCAGCGTATAAAATAGTCTAGTAACGTTGAACTTCTCTAGCTGTGAATTTAAAAACCCATTTCGAATTTTCCCACAGTACTGATTAGCCCTTAACTTGAACGAGGAATTATTTAGCGTTTCCTGGTTTTCCTTGGTTCCGTGGTTGCTATCAGCCAGCGGTAAAAACCGTATATTAATAGAACTAAGTTTAACACAACAGTCAACTACGCGACATTCAAAATCCCATTAAAGTTGGACAGATCATTTTTTAAACGGTTGTATTCTCAAAAAAATTGCGACTCAGTAAACGTTAAATTTCGCTGTTATTTTACTCAAACTGTTGTTACTTTCAAAACAGTTTACAAGAAAAAAGGAAAACTTGTATTAATTACCTTGTTAAGAATTATGGAACAATTTTTAAATAACTTTATGGAATATGTTTCCCAAAAAAAAATTAAAATGATATCTGAGATAGGCGAAACTTATTAAACATCAATTTTGAGTACATACTAATACTAAATTCATGAAAGTTGGTCATTTTGCACATTTCAGTGTTATACTTGTGTCAAATCAGTATTGTTGTGAACTTCTGGTATTGATGCAACAACGATTATTATTGTAATCTTCTATACTTCGACATTATTATAGCCCCTTGTAATTCACATCTACTCTTCTTAGTTACTACGGTATGAACAATACTGAATATATTGTGATATCTATGCACCAAAATTTTCCAGTCTTGAGGCATAAAAGCGCTATTGAATATTTCATCTTTCTTCTTTTTACTTGCGTGAGGTATCCATTTTTAAAGTTTTGTTGTATATAACACGTTCGGTTAACCTAGTCACGTTAGATCTGTTTTATAATAAAAAATATCCAAACACCCCAGCTAAAATTGTATAAACCGTAACAACCAGTATATTTAGTACCATTGTTACGTATTCTATTGTTTAGAATAACGTTTAAATGAGCATAGAAAGTATACCGAATTTTTAATATTAATAAGTTGCCACGAACCTTAATACATTTTTGTCTCAATTCATGGAGAAAACAAGCACATGAAGTTCTTGAAATAATATCTTTCTATGCAAACTAAGAAATCATCATATTAGTTACGAAAAATCAAAGAAAATACCAACATCTATATCTTACAAGAAACGGCTATATTTACATTTTAAATTTCCTTATCTACTTAAGTTTACTTTAATATCTGAGACACTTGTTAACTCAATGAATTCCATTCATATTTATGCGAACATCCGCTAGTCACTTCGTTCATTTAACACCAAGTTATAGGTCAAATAAAACGTATCGGTTTTTTACAAGCGTCGTTAAACCAATTCCTAAGTCCTATATATGTTTAGTGTCTTGGTAAATGGATTCAATGAAAAATCTGAAAATATAACAAAATGGTTGTATTTACATGACGTAAAAATTAACTAGAACTTATCCTTACATCCCATCAGCTGACTCAGCCACAAAATCGATACAAAATATTTAACATTGTACTCCTGGCTTCCTAATAATAATTTAATACTTAAAAACAAACAAGACCGTTTCAAGCCAAAATCGGTTGATATTTACATTCAGTTACATAGTACACTATTTCATTCCTAAAATTATAACAAAGGGCATATCATGAAATGATATCACACCAGAAAATGGTTTTAAACTTGTGTGAATAATGAAATCTAATTATACACAGAAATTATTAATCTGTGTTGAGAATAAATCCATTTCTTTAAACAAGTTTTTCATTATGAATTCCAAACTAAGAACTACTTTAGAATGACTACATTCAAGATTCTGAAATAATTAGGAGTACTTGTTACGAAGCTATGATATGGTACGATTATTGTTATTACTAATGGTATTGTTTTTGCTATAGGATATGTTTCTGATAATTCGTTAGGTCAAATGAAATACATTTAAGGTAAAAACTTTTTTTGTCAAATTAAATGAAAATGTACGCTGCTGCACAACTTACCAGCGGAGAAACATTTATATATTTTATATATATTTAAATGTTACCTAATGGAGACGTCGTAATGGACTTAAGCCAACTAGAACAAAAGATAGTAAGACAAGCGTAGTTCTAATTTTCAAAAAGTTTAATAAACATAAAATTCATGTTTTTTTCAAAATACAAGACCATTAGTACATTTATTATATTGTAGAATCTTACTGGCGATTGGAACCTAGAAAAAATTGGTACACTCTCTATGAAATCATTGCCGAATGACTTAATTCCGCATGTACAAGGTAAACCAGTTGAATGGATCGACTTCAAAGATGAATGTAAAACAAGCGAATTCAAACTACCAAATGATATCAATCTAATAAAAACCAATCCAGTTTTAGAATGGATAATTAAACGTTTATATAAACTTAATTTTCCTCCAACCGTGAGTACATTAGTGTACATTGATAGAATAGCCATTTTTTTCAATTATTCATCATTTAATAAAGTATTTTTCCAAACTATTTGCCTAGTTCAATGTTGGTTTTCGTCAAGAACTTCTATCAGTTGAAAAAGCACTATAAACCAGTGAGGGCTGAATAATAGTGTGATTATATCACATAAGTTCTCAATACTTACTCATTTACACGAGAAAATAAACGACATAATATTCCAGATAATTATTTTCAATACTATAACTCCTATTTCTAAAAAAAGGTATTTTTGAAATTGAATACTCAATAACATTCTAAACATCTCTTGAAATAATGGTTAGTGATGACCAATTCAGTCACTTTATCCTTCTACGTTTCTTGCTTCATTTTCAAATAAAATAAAATAAACTGTGACTACAATGGAGTTAACCTAAGAATGATAATAAATAATCAGATTTCTGAATGTATATTTTAAGGTACACAAAGCTGTCTTTTACATCTAGAAATAAATATAGGCAATAATTTAAAAGTAAATAAACATATCCATATAGGTTTCATGATTTCTGAAGATTTTTAAATTCTTTAGTTAGCTATAGTTTAGAAAAGAAACATGCCAAGATAAACACTTTACAGTATATACTGAATAAGGTTATACTCACATACAATGTGTAAAGTCATCCAACTCATCAATGAATGACAAGTTCATGTACTGCATTTAGGTGGAAGTTTTTTTGGGAGTTTGTACAACAGTCTTAAGGAAGGCAATAAGCAGTAGGAATTTATGTTGACTGTAAGAAGTTACAAAGTATTGACGTATTGCATATAAATAGTCTTCAATCGTCTATTTGCATCTTTTGATATGTTATTCAATCTAAATAGTTTTCTTGTCTGTTCTTCAAGTGTTCTGCCAACGCCTCATTGAAACTCTTCATTCCGTCCGGCAACTTAGAGGTTAAGTTCGGAAACATACTACTTACAAGCAATGTTGTGAGTAGCGTCCACTAAACCATTGGCTTTCAAACAAACGACGCTTTCGCCTCGTAGTTTAAAGACACTAGATCAATATAATATATTCACTGGTAGAAAAAGAGTGAACTCTGGTGAAAAATAACCTTACGCAACCATAAACTGCATAAATCGATGTCAGTCAAGCAAGTTATACGTTTATATTCTGATGTTTCTGCCAACTACAAGTTTTAATAATCAAAGATGATTGAGCATCTCAGTGACACATTAGTAAGCTTTATCATATTATATTCTATCAAACACAATCTTGAGCTCGTACCAGATGCAAGATTTTACCACGATTATCAACAAGTGAATAATTTTCTTGTTTTTCAATCTGTCATTCATTTATTCGAGGTAATTGTGTTAAGAACTTCTTATATAACCAGGATGACTTTCACATCATACTATGTTCTCAGTTAAGTCATCACATTGCAATATAAATTAAGGTTAAATCATATAGTCTGCGACAGCTTATTTGCTAGCCTTCGTTTGGAATTTGAATATCTTTTTAAATGAATCAAGCAACATGAGACTTTCCGCAACACTGCAAAGATTCAAGTACTTCTGATTCCCCACCATACAGTTATAATAAAAAAAACAATGAAAATATAAATTAGGCAGAAAACTCATGCAGAAAAATCTAATCAAACGTCTTAACACTGAAAACGATAATATGTTAGTGAAACTATTCAATTCCTATTTATTCTAAATCATGTCATTTATACGCTGTGATTTGTAACTTTAGCATCAAGATTTGTTCACCCGTTGAAATATTTGGGCTACCTACTTTATGTTTGAGCGAATACATAGGTTAACCTTTCAGTTTTAAATTCATTTAAAGTGAACAGATATGGTTGGTAACTGTATACATTTACTCGCCAGTTGAAGTGACTTACAAGTACTGGAAACTCAAACATAAATGTTGTGGTTCTCTGCACATTTTCCTTTTTATTTATTTGTCGTTTGACAAAATGAGAGACAAATATAGTGAAATCCAAAAACCTTATATACAACAGATCCAAAAACAGTTGTAACAGATGAACTGGTAGAAAACTTTATTGATTGTGGGTAGCAGATACTGGCTGTCAAAAACATCTATATAATCTACTTTTCGACATTAATGATAATAATAATAATAACTTGAATGGATGATAAGCCAAAACCTATTCCAATATTTCATAATTAGTTTTGAGAATTACTGACTACAAAAATAAATTTACATTTCAAATACCTGTTATAAGCCACTATTAAATCTATTTAAAATATGCTTATTTCATTAAAATTATTTAATGTTATTCTCTGACATTTTTTGTTTCTCTCTTCAATACAGACTGAATCAAATAAATCAGATTTACCGGAATTCCCGATTAAATTAGCACTACTTGGTAAACCTTTAAGTGGCAAAACAACTATAATAAGCCAGTTAGAAAAGAGTAATTGTCTTTTCTTTTCTTTTTTCAATTTCGATGAATGATTATTAATATCCATAATAATAATTTTCTTAATATAATTTGATCATATATTTTTTGTTGAGTATACCAACAGTTGATTAGCTTTTGTCGTGGAAATAAACTTTAGTTAAGATGTCAATCAAAATATCGGGTACAAATAGTCATTAAATTGTATTAGGATGTCAAAAATTTACTTACGATGCTATAATATCCTTATCACTATAAATCCATTTGGTTTTATGAAATAGTCAAATCATATGTCGTGTAGTTCGATACATTGATAATAGACCAATAAGATGGTAAGAAATTACAAGTGGAATTTAACATTTGATAGAGTTCATTTGCAGTTAATTTGAAAATACGGTGTTATGATTTACTTAACCTAACAGAAAGAGTGACAGTTTGACAACTATGGACATTCTCAGTTCTAAACTAACCAATTTCTTCTAGTACATGAACTACCTACAGTCTTATTTAGGTGACATTTAAAAGTGGCAGGTATCGAGATCATGAAAACGAAACTCATTCTATTTCAGGTTTCGTTAGTTTGATAACAGCTTGATCTTAGCTGTCGTTGTTCTCACTGGAATATGTATCCAGTACATCAAAACATTTGAGTGAATCGAATGGCCGGTGTTGGCATAGGAGTTTCAATATTTATCATGACTCTGTCTAAATTGTCTAAATGATATTAAGCATGAATCTTGATGATCAAACCTGGTTTAAATATGGACTAAAACAACAACAATTGTAAAGAAGTTCTTTTACTTTTCTGAGTATATTCATTTAATTTGATAGTGGTCAATGTTCTAAGGAAAGAATATATTTCTGAGATGAATTATTTAAGGATGCTAATTTTTTGTAACTGGATAAAGATGGGTTTTTTTTACAAATCTTTATCACTATTTAACTGAACAGAAACTATGTAGTAATGAGTGTGTGGTTAATTTTAATTTAAGATATTCTGGGGGTAATTAGCTGTTAACGTTGTTGCATAATCATGTCTAAAGATATCGTATCTTATGTAATGGTAAAAATAATAACAAAACAAATGAAGTTAAAAAAAACTGCTGATCACTGTATTCTGGCTTATGAGTAAATGGTAACTGTTGTAGTCAGTGTTATTGGGTTCCGCGACATTCAAAAATGACGTGAAACAGTTGCTAAATTTTTTATGATTTTATTTATTACTTCAGTTTTGGAATAAAGACGTACTGGTTTCTTTAAATTACCGAAATCCAATACTAAGCATTTAAAAGTCAATAAGCATATTTCCATTCCTTACACTTTAATACATTTCCAACTTATGTGATTGTCACTTCTAGATAATAGATGTGTTGGAATCAATCCATACAAACTTATAGAAGAGGCATTAAAAGCTTATGAAACTAAAGAAACTGACGAATGTTCCAATACACCCATTGAAAGTTCTAAATTAGCTGAAACAGAAACCTCTTCAACGGTCACAGTACGTTAATTAATTTATCATGTTGTAAAAGAATGTTTTTTTTTTAAAAAGTAAACTGTACTTACTAATTATGATGATACTGTTTTTAATCATTTTCCCAAACAAGATTTATCCTATTTTCAGTTAGGTCTTTTTTCATTTTTCCTTCATCAATGTCTAGTCTTTTCGTCATTTTTCCAATACAAACTACATATAACTCAAAGAAGTAAGTTGAAATAATGGCTAATTCCAGTGCTGATTTTGCACGCATCGATCAATGTTAAGTTTTTAAAAGATGATTCAAAAATTTGAAATAAAACAACGATGATGATCCTTTTATTTCCTCAAACCAGTATCTTACAACCTTAAAAATAAGGAAACTGTGAGGAAAATCTATCTAAAAAATCTTAGACGTCGAATTCCATGTATAGGGTAATGATTATGTTTCCTTTTTAGTATGTAAGATAATCAAACATACAAGGGAAACAAACCGTAGAATTTATTTTAAAGTTGTTTTTGAATCCTTATTTGGTACTAATAGCTCTAAATTTTTAGATTTATGGAAACCTTGTCAATCAGAAAGTTTATGACCTTTTGTATGTTTTCAAAAATAATTTGTGTTGGTAATGCTTAGTCTAGGGTGGTATGTAAATCATGAATTCTTTCTGTTACATACTCTCCCTCTTCTTTGTGGTTCCGACCTTCATTCGTTTTCATATAAAAATTAAATGAGTGATCGGATTCCTTACAGCATCAGCTAATATACTACTTTTTCAAATCAATTTTACCTTGTTATACTATTCAGATTCGCACGATGACAGGTCTTTCCCAACATTTACGACCTATTATGTATACAAAAGACGTGTTTTTCTACCAAAAGGCTGTAATAATATACAGAAGTTCAGATTTTTGTTCTGGTATTGTCTTATAATTTATGCCATGTCATGCGTTCTTTATGATTAGATCTCAAAAACGTTACTGTGCTAAACGTTCTTTTGAATTGAATTTTTCTGCAATTTCTATCTTTTAATACTAATAATAACAATTCAAAAAAACCTTCACTTTCTAGTCTGTTAAAATAGTCTAATATTAAATTTAATATTTCAGCTGTCAGCTAAAGCGAAACTCGGTGAAATGTTATGGAATGAACTAAAAGTTGGAAAAGAAATCTCCGACGATCTTTTAGTTGACTTAGTGTACGAAAAAGTCAAGTGAGTCAATTGATTGTGTTTATTTTCATGACAAATTACACTATCTAATTGAAGTTTGTCTTAAAGGATATTGAGCTGGCATTGAAATAATTAATCCATTATACATTCACTAAACCCCATTGCATAAGTAAAAGAAAGCTGTATAACTATACTTAACACAGTTATAAATGACACTTTTTATGAAGTTTCAGGGTTTATCACATCACTGCCGTAGTAAATAATGACTGACTTTAAATGACTTTAAATGCTAAATAAATGTAATCTAAACATTTTTGAAGTTTCAGTAGTTTAGCTGTTTCCTGCTTGTGAACAGGTTTTATTTTCCAGGTAAATCACACTTTGTTTGAATACATTCGGTCAAGTCCTTACACTAGCATTAAACTGTTGAAAACCGGAAAATACTAAACACTTGTCTCGTCCTAATTTGGGATTGGTCATCAATGCATACCAGAGACCTCGTGTGTGGTCGGAACGGCGATGATTAATGCCCACGGTAAAAACATTACTCTTAAAACACCAACTCAAAATTCAATGAATCAGATTTCCAACTTAACTGACAATATAGCTTGATCATCATCCAACCTCATCAGTGATATCTGTCCCCACTACCAGCATCGTCAAACTGTATCAGTAAGAGCTTCTAACCAGAATTTAAGGGATTTTCCAAGAGGTTAGCCACTACTGAACTTGACTTATATTAAGTTAGGGAGCTTGTATGATTATTTCAGCTGTGACATCTTCAATTAATTTATTTCCATCGAAACAGAATAATTTACATTTTAATTCCTTACATCTTAGCAACAAATGACATTGTGCAATTTAGGCGCTTCGATATACTTGACGTTTTTTATTATTTATTAGAACTTTTGTTTACCAATCGAATATGTCCACTCAACTGATAATAATAACTTTTAAATTTTCACCATATATGTTATTGGAACTATTGTCAACACATTTTGCTATTCGTGCCAGTGAATCTGCAGACTTTTAACTTTTCACAGTAATGTCTCTGCAATAACGTTTAGGCTGAAATAACAACCATATGTGCAAAATGAATGACCTATAAAACCTTATATTATAATCTCCTGTGTTTTACGATACATCTAATAACACTTCCTTATGAGTTGGTATTTCGCATATAAATGTGTCTTTTACTGGAAAGAAGAAAATGTGTTTGCCGGTTACATTAGACGCTTTTTAATGTTGGTTGATTTAGGGAGTTTGAATCGATATTTAGTCTCGTTATGCTCTCATTGTGCTCCACCCATTACCCACTACTATTATAAACATTTTGAAAACCAAAATGAATTCATGAAAAACCTGGAAACCTCCTCCATGACAGGTAATAAGTGAGAAATTGTTGATGAAAGGCGTTAGTATTGTACTGTATTAAAAGTGTATAAGATACAACGGACAAATTCTACGAACTTATGTTGACACACACAATATTTGAATTCTCATAATTCCAACGATTGACTACAACGACTTTACAACCTACCCAAAGCAAAATCTCGCAAATCTTACACCATCTACCATATTCAGTTATCTTGTAATTATTTTGTTATTATATATGTGAAATATCTATATAAGTTTCTTTTTATTCTTGTAGTATTTTTGTCTTAATTTTTTGCTTCTTTTCCCACCAAGAACTCTTGAACCAACAACTGGTTTTATACTAGATGGATTTCCAACAAATTACAATCAAGCTAAATTGCTGGAACAAAAATTAACCGGAAACACAACGGTAACGGATAACAACTCATCGAACAACATTTCACTACTTCTAGACGTACAAAACTCAACAGATTCGAAGTTAAAAAATAGTTTAGATTTGATTATTTTACTAGATATATCAGATGAATTAATTTTAAAACGTATAGCACATACAACGTTATCCAAACAGTATTGAATGATTCTTTGACAAAATATACAACCGCTGAAGAAATACCATACAATAACCGAGTTGATATACAAACGAATACATCATCTAATCAAATTCATTCTATGAATATTAATTCAGAAATGGACGAAAATCAGAATTCAACTTATTCCAATAATTTTAATTATTCTTCATACATTTTACAAGAAACACAGGGTAATATACCGGAACGGTTAGTTAATTTCATTCAATCATGGCCAAAATTGTATAAATTTTATCAAAAACAAAATTCAAATTTATGTGTTGTTCATTTAACAGATTTATTATATAATACAAAATTTTATCATTATGATTTAGAAAATAACGATGAATCGATGAAATTAGCTGTTTATTTAGAAATTGAAAGACAAATTGAAGATTTATAAAACATAAAGAAAACATCTCTTTAGTTAAAACAAAGCCTATTAAACAGATGGAATTCACTGGAAACGATCCAACCGTTGTAATAAATGTTGGTGAAAATACTGAGAAGGAGAATGATGATGAGAAAGAGACAGACAGTAGACGTACATTGTTTGCAAGTTCTACCATAGGATCAACTGATAATGATGATCAAAATGATCATATTAATAAAGTAAGTCTTGTTTAATAATAAGAAAAATGAACATAAAAATGTTTTTAGTTCAACTTTGAAATTCCATTGAATACATCTTATCATTTAAAAGGCTCAAGTTATTCTGAATGTGACTTAATTATTCAGAGTTCGAAGCTACATACTCAGAGAAACGATCAAAGTACTATAAATGCAGAGATTTATAAAGAGAATTTTATTTTAATTGAATTACACATCTAACACGAACAGTATGTCATAAAATAACCTGTTAGAGGTATTGTGGTAGACCTGACTGGACTCTTGTAGCAATTATTAAGTTTTGTCGTTCTATTTTATTTTCTCTACTTATAGATGGTTATAATCAATTCGTTAAGAAGTAGGGAATGACCTTAACTACATCGTTTATACATCAACAAGATGTTTACTTAGAATTAAAAGTTTCCGGCTAACGCCTTTCATTGCTGTAATACGTGTGGAAAATGTACTACCTAAATAATTTTTGAACAAGGACCCTTCAAACAATCTAATATCCCCTATATCCTCAACACAATATCATTATCTATATCAAGCTGATCCTGCCTGTAAACTCATGAGTTTTGTAATTATTTTCAGAAAATATTATATTATTTATTACTATTAATTACATTCATTCATTTCGTTAAGATCCATAATTTTGATGCCTACTCAACGAGTCCTGATAGGTGGATGCTGAAATGCTGAATTTAAATACTAGAAGGATCATCGAAGAGCAAGTTGACTACTTTGATGACGAAAAATAATCAGAACAACGTTCACCAGATTATAGATTCATATATATTTAACAGAGATGAAAGTTAATAAATGATCAGAAAGTCTTTGTTATACCCAGGATGCTGCACGTTCCAGTGTAGACAGACATAGAAAATGACTTATTTCTCTTACTAGTTATCCATGATTACAATTAAGAACAATTATCCAACGACACAAGGATGATAGTTAACCTCACATAATCTAACTCTTGAATTGTGTATTTACGTCATGATTTAATACAAATACTAGTCATCGTTTCCATAAGATTCATAAATAAAAAAATACGAAACGTAATTTGCAACCATTAGATAAATTTATCTTTTGAGACCCTCAGTTGACATACCTTTAGGTATGTCATGGTCATTTTTTTCTTTGTGTTTCATCAAAAGTTAAGTCACGCAACAGAATAGAAGATAGGTTGCACAAAACAAATGATTGATTGCTCAAAATGATTCAGCGAGATTAAAACTTCGAAAAGTAGCCAGCTAATCAGAGAAAGAGGATTGAAACAAACCATTACCCATATCATCTGTAAAATATAAAACAAATATGTAATTACTGAGATTACGGATACACAAGTACTCTCAGTTAATGTTCATTTAACCTCTATTTTCTGTTGAATGTAATACATCTATAAAAATAGACACCATTAGTTTTCTTGAGATTTCTTTCCCACTCTAAATCATTGGTTGGGAAAGCAATCTTATTTATAAAACTATAATCACATCAACTAGTGTCCGATAAAATTGTACATGCAGTTTATTCCACCAAACTTATGTATTTTCTAGACATTAGTAACTCGGAATCTTGGTCTACAAAGGGCTTCCAATGCATACAAATATTTTCTCAACACAACTTTAGGACAAACACTTGTTTCCGTCCCTCGATCTCCCACATTCTACTAAGCGCACTATTTTGAGATGGTGGAGAATATTTGTAGCTCAGGTGTATGATTTTGATGGAACAAAACTCCATCAAAAGCGCACTATTTAAAACTATCTAAAGTGAACCTATATAACGTTTTGTCAAATAGCCAAAATAAATAAATCTTCCTACCTTTTATAACACAACATTTAAGTGAAGTACAGACAATTTAATATAAATTCAGTTATAGAATTCATTCTTTGCTGATTGACATCAAAGACACATTGACTTGACCACTCATGCTAACACTACTTTTAAAGTCAGCCAGGGTTATCAGGTTTATTGCTTCTCTGTAATCTAACTTAAATATACCATCAGTAAAATAATAGCTTAAATTTAATTCCATATTCCACATTTATAAGGAATAAAAATTATTGACTTAATTGTTCACTTTAGTCATTTCCTTTTGTATCCGTCGTTTATTTTTAATCATTATAGAAATCAGATTTACAGGATTATAACATGAAAGACGACAAGTTGAAAGCTAGAGATGGTAGCACTAACTCACTACGTTCGATTCAACGTCCTGTAACAGCTAAAACTTCATCTAGTGGTAAAAACTCTACAACTTCTAGGCAAAGTAATCGTAGTAAAAAAGAGGGAAGTGCTGAAAGTCAAAGAAAAACAGGTGATTTATTAATCATAACTAGTAGATATATTTTTTACTTACTTTTCAGATATTTTATATATTAAAAGTTACCCATCTGAAAAATGAATAATCGATAAGTGTTCAGTTAAAATGCTATTAACTTAATTTCATGAAGAGATAGGTTTTTCTTTGTTTTTTCAACTGGGTTATTTACGATTGGGATATGAACATGTTGGATAAGTGACATTAAATGTAAAATTATATTTGTAATCATAACCTTAGTGGTTGAAATTTAAATAGTTATAACGTATCGATCACCAATCTGGACTGAACTTCTTCAATGGGATCAGCGCTAGAGCTGAGGCAGCACTAATCGATTGGATCCCCATTAACAGTCGGTTATGTGCTGTTAGATTAGAAAGTTCCATCAAAGTGAGAAGAAATCGGCGTGAGAAACGATGTCTCTTCGTCATCTCCGCCTATGCCCCAACAGATTGCAGCCCGGATGCAATCAAGGATGAGTTTTACCACCAGTTAACTGTTCTTCTCCAAAAAGTGCGTTCGACAGACATTGTGGTACCAGACGGAGACTTGAATGCTCAGGTCGAGCGTCTAGGCACAGAAGAGAGTCGTTTAGGTGGCCGGTGGGGACTTGTTGGTCACAGGACAGATAACAGGGACCGTCTACTGCAACTGTGCGCAGACCACAACCTGTTTCTGACTAGCACTAACTCCGGCACAGTCATCGCCGATGTGCCACCTGGCGTCCTCCCTCTGCATCCCAAGCCTGGACTCAGATTGATCACATCGCGATCAGCTACCACTGGCGTGGTTGTGTACAAGACTGCCACTCCTTTTGGAGTACCTATCTGGACTCTGACCATGCCTTGGTCTGCGCCAATCTTACCTTACTTTTCAGTGGCCAACGAAGTGGCCGCCACCAACGGATTGATGTTAGCAAGCTGGTTGCAACTTCTGTTGCAAGTAAGTATCGAACCGAGCTAGCCTCTAGGCTAGCTACCATTCCACCAAAAAGTATAGATGAGCATTGGTTGCAATTGCATGACGCCATGAAAATGGCGGGTACAGTCAGTTGTGGGTTCGCGAAACGTCCCGCTTATAAGAACTGGGTTTCTTCAGGTTCCTTACAACTCATTGAAGCCCGTCGGTCTACTCCGGGTGACCGTGAGTTTGACCCTCTGTGGCTGGTGACGACTGATCCATCAAATGAGGCGGAAATCCACAAGGAACTCGAACTCTTGAAGCGTTACAAATCACCTGGCCCAGATGACTTACCTCCGGCTCTTTTTAAAGATGGTGGTGACTTTCTGACTAAGGAATTGACGACGTTGTTTACAAAGGTTTGGGAACTAGAGAGTGTACCAACGTCATGGAATGAGTCGATAGTTGTCCCTATCTTTAAAAAGGGTTCACGTCGTTCCTGTAACAACTATCGGGGGATAAGTCTACTTCCGATTGCGTCCAAGCTATTGGCTTCCGTCATACTTCGTAGGTTGTTCAAAACCCGAGAAAGATTGACTCGCGAGGAGCAGGCTGGGTTTCGTTCTGGTCGAGGATGTATTGATCATATCTTCACCCTCCGCCAAATGTTAGAACACCGCCATACTTATCAAAGGCCAACAATCGTAGTGTTTCTTGACATCAGGGCTGCCTTCGATTCGTTGGACAGGACTGTTCTCTGGGATTGTCTATTGAAGAAGGGTGTGCCTGAGAAGTTTATTAACATCCTAAAAGCCCTATATAAAACACCTCAGGCAGAGTGAGGGCATACAACCACCTCTCTCCATTGTTCCATTCGAGCAGTGGGGTTAGGCAGGGTTGCCCAATCTCACCATTCCTCTTCAACTTTGCCATCGATGACATTCTGGAAACAGCTCTGATGAATGTAAGTAATGGTGGTGTGGATCTGTTGCCTGGAGAAAGACTTCTCGACCTTGAGTATGCGGACGATATTGTCTTACTGTGCGATAATGCCCAAGGCATGCAATCCGCACTTAATCAGTTGGCAATCAGTGTCCGTAGGTATGGTATGTGCTTTGCACCTTCGAAGTGCAAAGTACTTCTACAAGACTGGCAGGATTCTAATCCTGTACTCACCCTGGATGGTGAGCAGATAGACGTAGTCGAGAAGTTCGTGTATCTGGGTAGCTGCATAAGTGCTGGTGGGGGTGTGAGTGATGAGATCAATGCACGTATAGTGAAAGCCAGAGCGGCTTATGCCAATCTGGGCCACCTTTGGCGCCTTCGTGATGTTAGTCTGGCTGTAAAAGGTCGGATCTACAACGCGTCGGTGAGAGCAGTTTTGCTCTATGCTTGTGAAACCTGGCCTCTCCGAGTTGAGGACGTTAGACGACTCTCTGTGTTCGATCATCGCTGTCTCCGAAGGATTGCTGACATCCAGTGGCAACACAGAGATGATAATGCAATCGATGTCACCATCTTGAAACACCGACTTCGGTGGCTTGGACATGTTCTACGAATGTCGTCCCGGAGAATTCCACGTCGTTCATGATTTGCCGACTCTGGGACTGGTTAGAAGAAGCGGAGAGGTGGTCAGTGTATGACATGGTGTCGTGGTATGAAAGAAAGCTCCAAAGGACTGGCTTGTGTTGGTCCTTCACGACTCCCTGGTTGGGGTCCGAGAGATGGTGCTACACAGTGGCTAGAGACGTTATCAGATATGGCTCAGAATAGAAGCCAGTGACGATCCTGCTGTAACCTTCTTTTACTTTCTTCATAGAAAGTGGTTGTGTCTCCCTTAACTGAAAGATTTCTTCTGATTGTACCTTTCCGTTCCTCATTATTACTATTATTATTACTACACTACCTTACACAAACCTCTTCGTCATTTTTCTCTTTCTTTTTTTCTTTCTCTTCGAATTCTCATTGTTTTGTGTGGCGCATATATATTGGCGCTCTCTTGTACCAATATTTATGTGTTCAAATAAATAAATAAAAATAAATAAATAGATGGGATCATCAGGATCTTCGAAAAAAGATAAAGTGATAAGCAACTATGTTCTCTCATTAATATCTATAACGGAACGGACATGGTAAACGTAAATGATCACTGAACTAGAGTAACTTTGTTATTTCTTAGTTCACGCATTTTTTTAAAGTTACTATCATTCCCAAAATCTTTTATGTTGATTTTTTTTATTAGTGGGAAGTAGATCTCCATCAGCAGGACGAAGTACCAAAGACAGACGAATAAATTCAAATGATCGTGACAAACAATTGGAATCAGTTCAAAAAGATAAATCAATAAGTCGTTCTGGTAGCGAAAAGAAACAATCAAAGAAAACGAAGTTGAAATCTACTGATTCACCTCAATCAATTAAGGAAAATAATAAAGAACAAACGGTTACTTCACAGCCAGATTTGCCACAACCTGGTGATGAAAATTATCAATTCGTCGAGTTGCCAGTTATGAACGTTAGTTTCACTTTTAAAGTAAAATTCATAGTGTTTTATGAAGTATTCCAGTCCTCAAAAAATCATTTAACAATTAGGCGATAATTCAATTTTATTAGATTCTTTACAAACCACGGTTCCTATCCTTTTACCATCAATGATAAAGATTAGATCTTCATTACTTTACGGTTTATAATGCTAGTGACTTTTATTTGGCTTTTTTAAACTTGATACCAAAACAGTTCTCAAAGTCAGCAACTTGAACAAAGTAGTATCTGCCCATACTCATTGAAAACAAATTGACAAGTTTATTAATATTATTACTGAACATAACGCTACATGATAGCGACAAGTCATCATTACAAATAGAAACGTAAATGATTTTGATAGATAATGTAAGCATCGAAGTGTTTGATAAACATTTAGCAGACGATTTTGCTTTAAGAAAGATTTCCCTCCTATAAAAATTAGCTGTTGTTTTTACCTTCAGTTTTTCCCTAGTCCATTCTTCGAATTTTATTTGTTTTATTATTTTCTCCTACCAGGAATCCGCCCATATATTATGGAAATTATGGAATAGCACGGAAACTATATACATTCAGAATTTGAAGTCAATTTTCCGCCAAATGCGTTATCTATATTCAAATATTATACCACATATGTATCACATTAAACAACAGTTTTATAACTATTTATACAGACCTGATTCGAAACAGCATTTCCTTAACCAATTCATTAGTGTAAGTTATATTTTAAAGACAGGTAACAGACCAATCACTGAGTCGCTTTTATCTTTTCAAACTATTTACAATTATTAATTATTGGTCCCCAGACTAGTTATCATCACCACTGATTGGTTAGTCTAAGATTACTGAAAAATACATACCTTGAATCTGAAGGTTAAGAAACTATCGCCTGCAATCTCCCGAATGTAATTGATCTAACAGTTTCGAATTTGTTAACAGATGAATCTATGACATTTGTCACATCAAAGTTTTATTTGTGTTGCTTTTGAAAATAATAATGATATACATTTTGAACACAGTCACGGAATGTACACTAATTTATAGGGCTGATCAGGCTGATACAAAATACAGACAACATTTTAAAGGGATAAGTATATTATTTGAAAGCATGAGGTTCACAAACTATTTTAACTGAACATTTGTCACCAAAGTGATAGTAATGTCAGTAATAAGATATGACACTATTTTAAAGTACAACACCCCATCTATAATGAGTACCGTACCAGTCTTCAAAATCGTATTTTTCTTTCATAAGTGGTGCGTGGAAAACGTAGGGAAATGACATAACTGCAACTCCATAACCGATACAAACTATTACTTAGGAATCAGTATTTTCTTAATAGAAGCAGCAAGACACCTTGCTTGTGAAGAGGGAAAACAAAGAGTGTAACGCGAGGCATTTTCTGTTCAGTTATGGAGTATATTCAATCATTTACAACTAAACAGAAGACAAAAGCCGAGAGCACGAAACAGAAGCCACGAAATATTACTGTCATAGGTCTCTCGCCATGCATGCATAATAATGAATCTTAACGTATCGATTTACGTAGATTTTCAAACTAACCAACTGTTCTAAACAAATCCTTGCAGGAAAGAAGTAAATGATGAAAGTGGGGTAAGGTATGAGATTATTAAAGTATAACGCCCATCTCTTCATAATCTAACCTTGTGGTTGGAGAGGGGCATAAGACATCAATCTGAAAGAAAGTTTTACGGGTATGTTCATGAATAACAGTCTCGAAAATTTCATTCGTAGGTTGTAATATAATTGTTGGTTTATGCACTAATAAGGCCGAATCAGAAGCGAAAAACTTTCGATCTACCATATAAACTATGATAATGAACGTCTTTCGCTGAGACAATGTGACTGATTGTTCTAGATCCTCGAAATTTTACTTACAAAGTTGGAATATATTCGATGAATTTTAAGCTACTACTTCCATAGAGGATCGAGTTCTAGCTGAATGTATCTAGAATTATAGTCTAATATATAATCGTCCCTAACATTACAACGTGTAAACTGAAGTTAAACAGATTGTAATCTAAGTTTAACTTTAATGTGAACACTACCCAGAGCAAAGTCCCAGTTTTTTAACTTTGCACAATAAAATACGTGATCCATTGTTATGGCAGTTACTCATTAGACAGCTCAGAATTCATGATAACTAAGATATCTGTATTGTGACTTGGTCTGAAGAACAAAAATTATGGGAATATCTGAGTTTCAAGTCTACCACTTAACGAAACCCATGTGGCTCTATGCTTTTTATGATGAATTTAAAATTAAGATAAGTGTCATCAATGCAGATTCAACTACGCTTATCAGTTCTCATTACCGAGTTCCATTTTAAATACCTTAAGGCGACCTTTCTGAGCTCAGTTCTGAAATCATTTTAAATACGGGTAAATATGTGAGCAGAAATTGAACTCACTTCCTTGAGGTCACTTACATACAGAAAGAGTTTATTCTCACTGAAGCAATTACAGATATCATTTGAATAGGCTGCCAGCATCTTAAGGCCATAAACACTACTTTGTATTGTTCCATTTGTAATAGGATTACCATTCATTGGAAATTATTTTATTTTAACTATTTAGCATTGATGACCGAGAAGAGAATTCACCCACAAAAATATAAGTGATTTTTGAAGGTTAAGATAGAATATTATTTCTCGAGAAAGTGTGACAGCTTCTGTAGGCTGAATGAGTAAGGAATAATATAAGTTTGAATCTTTAAAAATATGTCATATGACATCGGTTTGTGATGTAAACTACCTGGTTTTCTGTCTATTGATCACAATTAGTAGATAATATAGTCAATTTTTGATGAAATTTTAAGTTATGAAACACGTACTTTAAAAAGTTGAGTTGACTGTCTGGGTAAAGATTCACATATTAGAATGAACTATCAAAATTGTACTACCTCCTGGCATTGCTAATGTGGTCAAAACTTTTTGGGTTATACTATGAACTTATTATCCATAGCCATTGTCAGAAAATCAAAATGATTCATAAATACTATGGCAAAGTTATGCTCAAAAGTATTTTTTAAAATACTTTGTGGATAGACCATCTTCATGTCATGAAATATGAATAAAATGACTGAAACCAATAAGAATCGCAAGAAGACTAACAAACTGAAACACTTTTTTATAAATTATGTAACCAGATGTAACGTTCAGTATCTGGTAGATTTGTATCTACTCTGGTGGCATGTTGTTTTTAGCTAAGGTGGAAACAAGGCCTGAATGTCAAAATTTTAAACAAAAGACAACAAAAGGAAACATGAGCCAACAACTGAGTAGGCTGATATGATTCCATTGTACCTATGACTGAGGAGGATCTTCAGCAATAAATGATGCAACAACGTCACTTCATGACTAGCAAATAGGGAAACTTAAAAACAAATTCACTTTTGTTGTATCTTACCAATAATGTTGATTACTGCTATTGGTATGGATACTGTTTATGGCTGCAAAATAACTGCTTTCTGCCACTTTCCGACAGAATAAGACCAAAGTAGTTCGATGAAATGAGGAAAGCATGACAGTTAAATGAAGATTCATTTGTGAGGAAATAAGTGGTCTAAATGACATTCAAAATAATAGTGAAATATATCATTTTAAATGTTCGGTCAATAAACAAATTTGAATGCATTGAACTAGTAATTATTCAGTAATTTAATGTGTAAACAATTTATAAAGGGCTTTGAATGACATACAATTAAATTAATGAGTTATATATATTATTCCTTCTTAACACGTCGACCTTTTAATTGAATCCGCTTGAGTGAGGTTTTCTGTCGGAGGGTCAGCTTATCCTTTTAACTCCATGCTCTTTTCAAACCGCTGGATATAACGAGTAATACATGAATATATGCATTTTTCATCTCAATTTTCAACAGACATTTAATTCTCTAATGAGTGAAATGCGTTCAGATAAAGAGACCAAAGCTGATTTACATTGTCGAACAGATGATCTGCGTGATACTTTATATGAAATCATTGATGAAACAAAACAAGCTAATGAAGATCGTTTGAAAATTCTACTTGATATACCTGGTTGGTTTACAGATCATCAAAGATTGTTGATTAATTTATATTTATCATTATTTCAAATTGAATTAACACGTTTTCAAGAGAATGCACAATTAATAAAGGATTATTATAAGTAAGTTCTTGAATAAATTAGTTTGATTAATTTCTGCGGTTTAGTTTTCTGGAAGTTTCATATTCAGTGTACATTTTTTGAAGACAATTCAAATTAACTTATATATGAATGAGGAAAATGTAACAAAGTACAACGGTTTCATCATTTTTAGCTATGTTGACATATCTAACCCCCGTACTTTTCAACAATTAGCATTGATCAGACATTAACGATACTTTAAAAGCTCAATTCGTCTTTCGTTTACGAACTTACTTAGTAAAATAAAATATACTGTTACATAATATCCCTGTTTGTCGGGTAAATACTGACATTCTTGATCTCGAGAAGTAGTGTTATTTGACGACTGCAAACAAGACCTTCTAAACTTATTAAGAGGTGGTAGTAATTATTTCTCAAATCCTTGGATAAGCTTTCTCAAAACAGCTTAGTTAATCAGTGCCTTTTTCAACTTCCTACTTATTGTAACACCTATTTAGAGACTAACTAGAATCCCCACCCACGTCACAACTGTTTGACTAACCTTAATTGAGTACAAGAACTAACATTTAGGTAGGGCTTCAGCTGTTTTTTTTCTTATTTTTACAAGATTCAAGTGACTAAGAAAATTTGATCTCTATAAGTAATTCTTGGAGTTTTTTTTCATTAGAATTTGGTTCCCAAACGTAATACTATTCATAAGTCTTTATCCATTTGCAAAAAATTGTCATTGAGAACCCTTTTGTAAAATACCAAACTAGTATTAAATACCTACTAAGATCAATAATTCTTCAACTGATATGATTCTAAAATTGCCTTAATCTTATTCAATTAAATTTCATTTACATTATCTTCACAACGTCTGAAACCTGACTGTCAGACAGCAAAAAATACGATTTTTATAATCAGTGTAAATGAGATTTCGTATAACTTAGTGACCCAGTAGATCGTGATGACACTCCAAATGAAATAGATACAATTTCCAAAGGTAAAATTATTTCAATTTCCAGATCGTATGAATATTAACATTAGTGAAAAAGGTATCCGTTTTAGATTTCTTGAAACAGTATATTGAACGAAAAGTGAATTTGTGTTGTATTTTATTGAGATTCGTAATTATCAAATTACTTTATGGAACTGAAAGTAGTTTTGTGAGCCTGATTTAAGAACATACTTTTACAACCTCATGGCTATAAATTTACATTTACATTAATAAAAGGGACATTGTTTCACAGGATAAGGTCTGGTACTTCCATCGTATTAACCATCACAACCCTCCTTTTATGTCATAGATAAATGATAAGAGTAAAGACAGTATCACAAATAAGATTTTTGGTTTACACCTAAATGCTTCAGATATATAATTTGTAAATAATCCGAGTAGATGAGCTCAAAGTTCGTTAAGTTATTGAAAATTAACCCAGTATCTTATAATTCACAGTTAATAACAACTCTGTTACATATCAATTTCAGCGTTATGGAAGCTAGACCTCAAACAATTGAAAATGAATCGATTCAAGCTTTAGCGGGAACAATCGACGCAAGTCACATTGAATATACACGAATACCATTAATTAAAGTGAGTTTTCGTATATATCATCCCATTCTTTGTTAAAATGATTGCTAGAAAATGATCTGTCATTGGCTGTTATCGAGTGATGTTTTAAAAATAAGCCATTTTTAACTAAGAACCAACTTCTGTAGAAATATCTGCAAAATTCAGGTATTGAGTGTATGTATTATTTTAGCTTTAGACTAGAACCTACGATCCTATGCAAGATCGAACTCTGAGCCACCAAACTTCACGTCCAGCAAGACAACTATAAACCATAAAAGTTTATTACACAAAAGTGTAACTTATCGCCAGTTTACACTAATTCACATACTTTTCATCAACAAACATCCTGGCAGAGGTTTATATGTCATACAACTTCATGATTCCTTTCAAAATTAGAAGAGATACTCATATTTTTGTTGTGAATACTTTTGAAAGACTACCTATTTCCTGAAAGTCAGGAGTAACAAAGTTCTTTATGTAAATTATTGGTAGCTTCATAAGCACAGGTATAGTTTCATTAATGTCATAGTTAAAAAACTATAATCATTAAATGGATAGTAAATAATAAGAAAGAATTAGTGGGTGGTATTATAAGTAACTGTTATCGAACTGATGTTGGCAAATAACGAATAATGAGCTTTTTATTCGATAAATCAACACCTAGAATACTCCTATCAAAGCTCGAAAAACTTTATTCAACATCAAATTCAAGAAATTCAACGTTTCGTATGACTCATACAAAAAAATTACAAAACAGAAATTAAAAGCACTTAATTTCTATCAACTGAGATCATGAGTCAATTGTAGCTAGACCATCGTGGGAAACCTGTAAGCACTGGACGGCCGTTTCATCCTATTATGTGACTCCTCAGCAGTGCACATCCACGATCCCGCCTCGCGAGATTCAAACCCAGGACCTATCAGTCTCGCGTGTGAGCGCCTAACCACTAGACCATTGAGCCGGCATCCAGAGGTGTTAATATCTAAATTCACTAATCCACGAAATAGAGCGACACATTCACCATTGTCCTCAGTGAATTATTATCTCACAACAGACCCGGTTGAACTCCACTGGTCGCTGCTTCTAACTAGAACTCCAGGAAATACCTCTTGAAACTAGTCACTAGTGAGCATATGTTGTAATTTCTTCTTAATTCGCTGTTTCAGAACTTTTTCTACAAGTTTTGTTTTGTGATTGAACTCTTCAGTATTTTCCTTTGCTTGAAAAATGACAATAACTTCTTCATACATTATCAGTTTTATATATTTCATCAAAAATTCCTTTCATTTTTTAGCTTCCTGATGAAATTGTCGAAAATGATGATAGTTCCGGATCGCGTAAAAGTACATCAACAAGACAAAATTCTTCAAGGTCTAGTTCAAATAAATTGAATAAATCAAAATTAACGGATTCAGGCAACACTGTTTTGTCAAAATATTCAACTCCAATTGATACAAAATTGGAAATTTTACCGAGTGAATTTCGTAGTCAAATTAATTTATTGAATCAGAATTCATCATTACAAGAAATATTTGCAGCATTTAGTAAAAGTCAGTGTACAACCTATTTGTTGTTAATTTTAAAATAATTAAACTGCTTAGTGCCTTATATATATATAAAGTTACTGTGGATCTGTATCGTCGTACTTTGGGACTTCTCAGCTGATATCAATAATGAGAACTATCTTCGAACTGGAAAACCCTACAAAAAACTGTTTGCCTAAATAATAATCATATTCTCACTTGTAAATAACTTTGGGCCGTATTTAAGAGGCTACTGTAATAAGCGGTGACCTGTGGAACTAAACAATAACTGAATGGTGTAGTTAAGTACGGATTACTCTGAATACCGAATTGAATAGAGTCAGACGTGTGGACCAATTTATTTCGATTCATTGACTCAGTATCAACATACTCGCCAGTGCCATTGTACCAGTCAGTGTAAATTTGCTAAGAAAGCCTCAACTCATTTAGTTCTTACATTTTTAATAGATTATGTTTATGATGAACAAGAAAGCCCTCAGTAACGTTTTAACTCATATGACCTCAGCTATTATCTGATTGTTTGCTCCAGCTATTAAGTTGCTAATTTTATTGTCCCAAAGTCGTAGTTCTCGTATGTGCTGAATTCCTATTCTCTCTACTCAATCAAATGTGTATCATTTTTATTGAAGTACTGTGAGAAATAGAGTGTGTAGATCCATCTCGTGTTATAAGGCATCTTCTATTAGTTCAGAATTCGAAATAGACGTAAGTCATCGCAGACAAAACAGCTGTTTCTTAATTTCAACTTCATTAAAATATCATGTACAAAATTATTTTTTGATAAATAATACTTTTTTGCAGTCACAGACAAAATGAATAGTCTTCTAAACATCATGATAGTACACACATTAATGCTTAAGATGAATTCCTCTTCCTCCGAACATAAACACTGTTTAAAAGCTGCTTGTGTGAATGTTCTATCCGTCAATCAAAAATGAACTAGCTCAGCGTACAGATCACTTCATTCATACCGGTTCATAATAACTCATCATAGACAAAACAGGCTCACACATTTGTCACTTCACGTTACCTGTTAAATCTGATTTTCACGTTTTAGTTTCAGCTTTTATTTGTTTAGATCTTGTGTGAAACTGCACTACTTACCAATACTCAGTAGCTCATTATGTCAAGCATTTTTACTTCTTTCATGTAACTCATGACATTTTTGTATTTCAATAAAACACTTATCCTTACATACTTATATCTTAATGTTTGTAACTATTTTTGTACTCGTAGTGATATTTCTTTACCTTCTAATTGTTTGCTTCCCCTTTAGTATCCTAGGCCTTGAAACTGTCTACTATGAACTGTTGGCTTCTTTTCGAAACAGCTCTTAATTTCTGTTTTCCTCTTGACAAATCCATGATATCTTTTCTCATCTACAAAATATGTTTAATTCTTTTCTTATTCATCCATTTGAAAAATATAACTTCTCTTTAACTGCTATGCTGACCGCCTTATTAACGTCTAGACAGCTGATGAGATAGTGTTTTTAAATGCCTAACGTTGACATTGTTTTCCGAAATCTTTGGCCATTTTCAAACAAATATCGCGTTTTAGTTTTAGGATTTTATGTGCGAGTCACTCGCTGGGTAGGAAACCTCGAAAATTTTCTACTTCTTCTATGGTCCATACGATGTTACAGTCCACTGTTTTAACGTAAGTACAGTGTGCGGTAGTTCACCTTACATTGCCACACAAATATAAAATAAGACTTCTAAAGATAGTGTAGTTTGATAGGGAGTTACATTAATTTTCCAAGATGGTATTCATCATGGACTGACGTTAGCTGAGAAACTTTTGAAAATCGGGGAACATTGGACAGTCGTTTCTTTCTGGGTTTTTTTATTATTTTATTCTTCTCTCCTTAGTACAGATGGTTTACCTTTGATTAGTCAGACTATTTCAACCAATCCACCAAATCAAAAAGGAGCCAAATCTGGTGCTGTTAAAGCAAATTCAATTCAAGAAAAAGTGACCCTGACAAATCCAACTAATCTTCTTCTAGACAAACCGACTCCATCTACAGATCCATCAATTCAATTCTTATATAATGTTTTTTTAGGTGTTATGCAAACTATTTTGAATCAGGTTGGCTGAACAAATAGTTTCTTAATTAACCACAAGTTTTTTTGAGTAATTATCAAGTTAATGAAAAGTTATAATGAATATACGATTTTAAAATATGCACATCCTTGTAATTTAAACTGACTACACAATATAAATCAATGCTACTTATTAGATATTTAAGAAGGATATGAATAATGATTTATGTGAAATACATTTCAAAACGAGATGTTTAAACGTGCAAAAAATATGTATTTCACTAATTTTTCTTTTCTTACACAATAACATCATTACTAGTTTCTTGAGTGTTCCGAAACGGTAACCTAAGAAGTAATTATGCATAAAATTTATGAAAATTCAGGGAATAATAGTACATTCTAACAAGTGAATCGATTGTGATTGACAACAATCTTAACGTAGACGTTTTTCTGAAATTGGTTTAATTTGCAGATTATGTTTGTCTTAGATCGATCTTAGTTAATGTGCTATTAGAAATTATAGATTACTGGACAGCCGCTTCGTTCTGATTTCACACGCCCCAGTGTGCATCTGCCACTACACCAGAAATCGCACCCGGAACCTTCAGATCTCGGAGTGGATCACAAGTTGACCGAACTTTTAATTTTACCTCCGGATACCGACTTAAGTACTCACCGTGAAACCTGGAGGTCGTAGTTCTGCCCAGTGGCGGGGTGATAAGAGTTCCCATACTAGAACGAAACATCTATCTGTTACTCGTTGGTTCCTAACAATACTTCAAGTTGGAACGGTCCGTAAAAAATATAACCTACAAACCACCTGGTTTATGAAGGTTTCTGTTTATTTTGGAGATGACTTTCACTATTAATTGACGTCACGGAAGAATCAATGAAAGCTAGGGATCGGGGAAATCCGAATCATCCTAATTTCCAACCCTTCAGCAGTAAAGACCTCCGATCCAACACAAAGACGAACCTATGGTTTTCGAATTATTATAGTAACTTATGGGGATTTATTTAGTAAATTTACAGCTCTTTAAGATTCATTCATCTAGCAGCCCGATGATGATCTTACAGTTTTCTTGAGTTTTATCTAACAAGATATTTGATGCTAAATATTGATGAAAACAAGCAAAACATTCAATAAAATGCTAGTGGCATAGTTATCACTTACGTCTGATGAAAGTTTACTTCAAGTTCAGTACTTATGAATGGTGACCTGTTTAAAGATTCTGAAAAAGAAGACCCGTGGTTTTCACTATCGCTCCAAAGTGCGAGAAAATCTACGAACAGTCGAATTGTTTGATTTAGTTGTTGGAAACAGAAAATTTACTTTAAAAATCTTGACATTTGGTACGTAAATGTCTCAAATTTGTCTATCTTTAGTTGTAAACTTAAGTGGAGCTAGCTATCATCGAAATTCGACCACTCAACTGCCATCGTAATCTTTGTCAATAATCCAGTCATTATCATGACCACTTTTACTCTCCTTTATGAACTGAATAGTTATGCAATATTCTTATTCCTCTCCATTTCATATTATCTACCTGAATGTTTACGGGTTACACACCGTTCGAACATTTCATTATTTTCGAATCACATGTTAACACTTTCTCTTTATTCTCAACCATATGCAAAATATTATAGGATGTATTCAGTAACTTGAAGTATTAGTTATCAAGGCCTTATACGCATTGGTTGACAAAGTGAAGTTGATAAACTGATTTCAATAACTTGAAAGACAATTAGTAAAAATCCCTTATAACACCTAAACTATATTTAGCTTCCTTAATAATATTGTAGTACACCCAACTATGAATATTCTCATGTGGGATACTAATATGAAGATATTTCAATCTTTAAGTCACATTCTTTTTAAAATTGTGTAGCAATTTATTGCATCAATGTGAAGCTAAAGCGATTCATAAAATTTCTTAAATGTTTTTAAACATGAGTCTTGAAAGTCATATAATTTTCATTTTATTTGTTTGCTTACTGATTATCTTGTAAGTAACTAAGTTATCTTAGTAGATTTTAGAACCACACACGAAAAAAGTATTAAATATATTATTTTATAGCTTCACCTAAAATGTATTCTTTTACTGTTCAAGGTACAAACAGAACGGAAGTCTAGAGCGAGTGAATCTATGTTGGATGGTTATACAGTGGAGTTACTGCTTAAGCCTACAGATACAAAAGGTGGCAAATTAAGTTCAGCAGATAAAAATAAAGGTGGGCAACCTCGTAAAGGACAAAGAAAATCGGTGGTACCTAAGGAAAAGGGATCTAAACCTGATGAACAAGCGACTACTCCAGGTCGTTTATTGCTTTAAAATTTACAGCACTTTTTTTATCATATATAGCTACTAAACTGCATTACATACACTTTAGTATGAAAATACTTTACAAAATGTTTCTGATTAGCTTGGATATTTAAACACAATAGTATAAACCAAAATGGTTGACTAAACAAACCAGTGCTCCAACAAAAATGATTTCTCTCCGCTATTAAATCCTATAAAGTAATGTTTACAACTCAGTAGTGGACACCCAGAACTCTATTTGAAATTAAAACTAGTATTCACTGGTGCCTTGAATTACATAATATCATCAATCCACTGAGTTGGTATCCAGTTAACTACATTTCTAACTTATTTCAGTCTAACAAACGCTGGTGTGACTATTTGTCATGACTTAGTATCAACTGCTATTTCCTAATAATGATAAGTGAACAAAGACTGATAGGCATCGACACGAGGAAGACTGTAGATGAAGATTTTCATATTCGCTAACAGTAGATTCACAACTGATCAAAACTGCATCAAAAACACAGTGGATTTTGCAGAATTTACTAGCTTTAGCCAATAGCTAAATTCGAATACTTTGAATCGAGAAGCAGTTCGCATTGATTAATCATTGATTTAATGCATGTATACAATTCAAAAGATCAGTAGGTATATATATTTTACTTCTCCCTTACATCTCCCCTTTTTGACTGGACATGAAATAATAGGGATTCCTTTTGGGAGAATCATTCTTAACATAGTTTTGGATTCAAGGTTAGGTTGGGTAACTAGTGGAAACCCGACCTAACTGACTTTATATGTCACGGGCCCACGTTAGAACTTGAAAATAATTTTGAAGCTAGTTACAGACTTACTAACTAACTGGTTGGTTAGGTCGAAATTTTTTTCGATTTGAAGTTAGTTTGTATCATGGACTGTTATCACCAGCTAAACTATCTTACTAACTTCTAATTTTATCTAAAATTGTTTAATATAAGTACTGTTGATGTATAAAATTATTATCAACCTAGATTGTTACAGATTGTACACATCATCATGTAGTGAATCTACTTAGATCTCAACTTACCAATCTATAAAAACTGTATCCTGGATAATGTAAAGGTAGTATTCTTTTCTTGATTGACTATTTGTATTTGATGTATTAAATGAGAGAAAAAAATCAAGAATTTTAATGCTCTTTAATTTAATTAAATGGTTTTCAATTATAATTATATAGAGTCACCTTCAGTCCTCTACACCTTCCCCAATCCCGTTTATAAAATTCATTACACTAATATTTAAGAATTTATCTACATATTATAGATCAATCAAATTAATTATGTTTTTCAAATGAATGTTCAGGTTTACTAAATGCAGTTTTTTGCTTTTCTTTTTTTCATTCAGTAGAACTAACTGAAGAAGATCAAAAGGCTAGAGAAGTTAGGCAGCATATTAGAGAAGAACATATAGCTGCGCTAGAAAAAGAAGGTGAATATGTCATCAAAGAAATTTATAGACCAAAATCCATATATGTTGGTTTACTATAATTTGTATGTCATAATTGTGCTATAATCACAGTGTTGATTAGTCAAAATACTAAAAAGATATTGATTGATACTGTTTGTGAAAAAGTGCGATATAACCGAGTGATAATTGCCCATCAAGCTAAATTTACTCATTTGTTCCATTTACTGACTAAACATGACAGCCATCGTTGTGCGGTGGATGAGAGGTTTGACACTGAATGGAAAATCAACACCATATTGTTGATACACTGACTAGACGAAACATCATTTAAGTTCCCTTCGACTAACCAACATCGTTACTCTAGTATGTCAACCACATTATGGACTGTTAGATCGAAACCAGACATCAGTTAGCTCAACAAAAATCACTTCCCGGAGATATCTTAGTGTAAACGTTGAGTACGAGAAAAGTCGTATTCTCAACATTACTACAACCCTCATAGATTTTATATCACGAACTAAAAACCTGACAGGACTGGATTACTGTTTCGTTCTAGCATCGGGCTCCACAGAAGCGTCCAACCACGACCTCGGATCCGGAAATCAGACTCAGGTCTTTCGGTTTAACCCATAACCTCTAGAGCACTGGGTTAGCATCTAAAACGTTTTGAAACATTTTATAGTATCACTACAGAGATCGATCAAATCAATTTCGTAAAATATCAGTGAGAAATAAACACTTTATTATTCTCATGTTTTTCAAGTTAATCTGCATCATCGTCTGAAACTTGCTGCTAAAACGTCCATATTGTATGCCAATGTGTTAAACTTTTAATTATAAATGCGAATGGTTGATAAAATTATCTACGATCCGTGATTCTCTGTTGCTCCAGGCCAGCAAGTCATTCATCAACATTGTAGGATCTGGCACGAACGTGTGTCAGTCCGCTTTTTCACATTTCACATCATCACGGATAGTAAAAAAATTAAAAAGACGTATCGTATGGTAGAAATAATTGTAACTTCAACGAAAATCTAAATAGAGATAGGATTAAAAGGAACAAGTCAGATCAAATGATGAAAAGTTAGAGATGAAAACTAACTTTTGGTTCTGAAGAAAGGAGAATGAATGGAACAGCAACTAATCTTATGCCATGGAACCCAATACTGGTTGCAAAACTTGTGCGAGCCCCAGCTAGGAAACCTATATCCGCCAAAGTGGTCTAGATCATTATACATTTATTTCAATAATTGATCTCATTTTCTGACTAGCAAAACCCAAACTTTTGATTTCTAGGTAGGTAGTTATATCTCATGATCAAATAATTTGTAGAAATTATCGTTATTTCTTTTTAACCTCTTTTGATCTTGTAATTTCAAATAGCCGCTAAAACTGCCTTTCGCTTAACAATAATAAGGGCTCAAGGATCAGCCGTTCTATCAGATTTACAGGAAAAGTTTTCCCAGTTAAGGCAATTTATGACAGACTGTATTGGAATTAAAACACTCAAAGAACATGATGCGTAAGTTCAACACAGCATCGTTTTGCAACCAACTTTTTCTTATATCTAGACGTTACTCATAAAATAAAACTTTAAACAGACCAATGGTCACACAGGCACTTGTGGAGGTGATTAAGATACCAATAAGAAATCGGTCAACAAAGTTGGAAGAAAGCCTAGGTTATAGCTGAATTTGAATCGGCTGCTTCCTGGTTACTGACTCAGTTATTCAGTCATCAAATGTTATCTACATCCCTTATGTTTATTTTGTGAATATAATATGCCCATTGCATGGGATGAGCATTAAATGATGGTGGTATTCACCTGAATGTAAGCGATGTCATTAAACTATCAGATTTCGTGATGGTGGAGAAGATTTGTAGCTCAGGTGGATGATTTTGATTGAGTTTTGTTCTTTGAGCTGGATTGTTTGGTCGTGGAGCTTTCATAGTTCTTTTGAACGATATCATCAGCACAAACTTCAGGCAAAAGTGAAGTGTTCGAACTTCTCTACATATGGCCCACAGTTTGTCCTGTATGATAAGCTGCCAGATTAGCACCAATTTGAAAAGGTGATTAGGATATATTCCGATACCATTATACGCATTCTGATGCTGTATCTTTACTTTTAACTTAAGTGATTATCACTTTAAATACTGCTAAAGCTAACATTGATCATGAAACAGACATGATAAAATCTTATTATGAAACACATAACTTATTATTATATGCTTGGTTAGCTTCTATACACAAATAATGTATTGAAATATTGTGGCACTTATACTAAATGACAACTAAATTGCACACCAATGGATGTCTTACTCAAATTACAATACCCTCACATGCATCCACGGTGCTTTCCTTTCTTCTTGTGTCGATAAGTTTTGAAGAGACCCGGGAATTTTCGCTGTATACACTACATTGAATACTATTACCTATCCTAAATATATTACCCCTATCGTTTCCCTTAAACGTTCTGACCGATAGAGTTAACTAGTGCTAAGTGTTAAACAAATGTCTCCAACAGCACTGCGTGACGGTTGTGCAACACCGCGAACTGATCAAATTATGAAGCGGGATAGCGGCACCCCAGCTCAATGGCCTTAAATTAACGTGTTTGCTTCAAAATTCGAATCTCAGAAAGAGGCTTGGATGACCACTGCTCAAATGTCTCATATTAGACCGAAAAAGATATTTACTTCTCTCCAGTAATTAATCGTTTCGCTAAAGTCAACCAATAATGTTAATTACAAATTAGTTAATCTCCATGAACTACCATGTTAAAATTTCATTTGGAATTTAATCTTACTATTTATCATGTAATACATTTTAGTGTGAATAACGCACTTGAAGTTATTCGATATATGATTGAAAAAGAACAGAAACTTCCAGAAAAAATGATATTAGACGGTGAACAATTTTACATTGATGAGGTGAGCACTCTATTTTGTTCTCTTTTCGTTACAATAGACTCTGTCTTCACTTTAATTAGAAATATATCCAAACTCGTTCAATGATATCATTTGATCATAAAGAGATTATTTCAACCCAGTTTAAATCGTATATTTGACTAGAAATATCCTGCAAAACGATTTTGAGTATTTTGTCTTAATTTCCTAAGGTTAAAAGAAAATTAATGTTTATTTGTTAGTTTTGTCGATGAATGGTCAATACGTAAACTTTGATTTCCAGCTAAAATCAGAACAACCAATTGATAAGTTGACTTAAATTTATTGATATTTTTCATGTATGTGGAACAACCGCGTTAGTAACATTAAGGTAATATGTAAGTTACTAAGTGAAGATGCCAGGGTTGTTTCTTGAAACTTTTAATCTTGAGACAGACACTATAAGTGTTATCTAAAATGACAGTCAAGATAATAAGACTAAATAAATGAGCTCGGATAAATTTACACTATCGAAATAATTTATATGCAGCTTTTAAACTATCCTTATAGGAATATAGACAAAATCAAATTCACTTTATTTATTGAATACACTATTGTATTAAGTTCGAATCCGGTTTTTGAGACAAATTAATTTTGTTTTTGTTTACAAATACTGTTTATGAATAAATATACATAGCTCCACAAGTTTACATCATTATATATAATAATTTGTTCACTTACAGAGTGGTACTACTTCACCTATTTCTAATGATTCATTATTGATGGAAAAACTTCGAATTAATTCACCAGTTATAAATAAACCAATTGAATCCGAGCCCCAATATTTTAATCTTAGTCAGTTAAAATATCTATATGATAAAGTAAGTCGTAACATTTTTTTTCAGTTATTAAATCTCATGTTTTGGTTAGAATATAGAATATTCATGCAGAATTTTCGAATGAAATTGACTAATCTGATGTTAGAAACATTATTATTTAATTATGTTCTTGCTTAAACCAGCAATTGAAGTGAGAAAACCAAGGGTGAGTAGGAAACTTTTGTTAAATAAAACATTTAAAAATATGTGCACGACTCATTCATAAATATATATCCCACAGAAAATAAGGTTTCTAACTAAACATATGTCCACCAATGGTAAAATGATGAGTTTGGGCATTGGGTACCAAGTAAAAATAGGGTTGATTGATAAAGTATTGAATAGTCATAAACTGAGATGGTTGTGATATATGTTACATGTTCTCAGCCACCTCCTACTTTGATGTATGATGTCTGCTGGCGTAGAAGTTGAAATAAAACTGGGAGCGACCAAAAAAGATATGGCATCAATCCATGATTCATTGACTTTTAGAGTTCAGAATTGTATGCAATGTCCCAGATACATCCAGGCCTTACCCCCTTAGTTCCTAAATCCCGAAATCTACTGATGACATTTTACTCTACTTTTCTTTTTTTTCTTCACTTAATCCCTTCTAATACCACTAGCAATGTTGTTTATCTTGATAATAATGTGACAGCTTGCACTGACGTACATTTGTTAAGTCCTGCATTTCATATATTTGACGGACTGTCTGTTTCATGAGAAACTAAATCCAAATCTTGAACAATAGAGGGCCCATGTTAATATATTTCACTTATCATTTGGCCTATGTCTGAATGGTTCAGTGTATAACCTCAACCTTCTGAAAAATAAATCTAGGTTTTTGGATTCGACGGCACTGAACTGAGATGGTATGCCTCAGATTATTAGTGATCGGATGAGTAGTAGCCGTTAGTACGTATTAGTAGTAAAATTAGTACTAATAGTAGTAATGAGAGGAGAAATGATGGTATTGTAAAGACTGTATTATTGTGAGTTTTCATACTATTATGCGTAACAGTAATAGTGTGAGCTGTCGTTATTGTTGTCATGGCGTTCATATAAACAAAATTTGTAAAGACAGTTTACCTGTTTCGACCCATTTTATCAGCAACAAAAAGTTGAAATAGATAATAATTCACTTCTTATCATTACTTTCGTATAAATCTTTGACGGATATGTTTCATCTCGGAAGTGTTTTTTTTATCTATTCCCTTCAATTAAAAGTATAATACCAGCTAATATCCATCCTTTTTTTCAAATGTCGAATACCGAGTGAATAAAACAAGTAATTATTAAGTTAATCTAAAAGATATGATGATGATATTTTAATAAATTTTACTAATTGCTTGACTATTTAAACACGTGATATTCTTAATTTTCTGCTTCTATATTCCCTGTTTTAGTTTTCAACTCTTAGCCAAACAAGATGTATTGACGTTGTTAATTTTCAAAGTATATTGAAACCAATGCTTACAGAACGTTTTACTGAACTAACTGGCTCATGTTCTACCGACACATTAAATGAATTGTTAACATGTATTGTTTATAAGTATCGTTTATTATTTGAAACAAATTCTGTGAAAAGCTCAATTACTACTGATTATAACGATTTGATTAAAGTAAACAATATACATGAAAAACAAGTTTATTACATTGATTGGCGTCAATTTTTATTAGCGGCTTGTCAGCCAGCTATTACATATCATCATTCCACTGTAATTACGCAATCAAGTCTAGTGGAACTATCACAAAGACTCATGGAATTAGATCAATCAGCCAAACACGAAAATTTACTCAATGTAAAAGTTACTCGAGCTCAATTTCAATTCGCTTCATTTAAATGGTTTCCAGTTGGAGTAAAGGTAATTATTTACAATTAATACGATATGCTTGATTAATGTATATAGTAAACGATTTTGAAGCCACTAGGTGAAGCAGTATCTGAGAGGTTCGAAATGGGGTTAACTATGAAATTTGTCGATTGTTTCTATATCTTCTTCCGGTAATATTGAAACATATCGACTGAAACATTAATTGTGACACTATGGATACCCATATAACATGTTAAATTTATAAGCAATTGGCGATGCGGTTCTAATCTTAAAAACTGTTGTGTATGAATAAAAAATTATTATACTTATCATCTTGTACAGTCAAAATAAATCTCATTTTACAGGGGAACCCTATTTTACATAAAGTGAAGAGATATGACTATACACAAGTCTTACTGATCACTGAAAAAGTCATATACGTTTAAAATAAAACATTAAATCAGTTTAGAAAATTTTTAAACAGCCTTTCACACTCTAGTTTTATTTAAATCACATTCACTGGATCAATGAAAAATACCATACGACCCTAAGCAAGAAGTATTGGAATAATTCCTAAGAAACCTGGAAAAATAATTCCATTTTGATCTGATATTGATTGTTTCTTCATCTAGTCCTTTGTCTTAAAAATCTCATTCTCTTGTTTCTTGTTTTTTTACTTTAGCATTATGAAGAATTGCATGATTTCATATTCAGTATGTTCACAAAGAAAGTTATTCAATCAAGAATCAACGGAACGTATCCTAAGACTGATTCACAGAATACAGAAACCTATATCAACTCTCAAAATTACAAAACATTGTCAATGGAAGAAACAGTCGATTGCTCAGATCTTCTACTAAATATATCACTTATTCAAGTAAAATCTCCTTATGTCGGCTTTCTACGTTGTTTATCAACACTTCTTGGAAGACATGTTCCATATATATCTGTTCACAACCAACTAATAGTGTAAGTAATATTATAAAGAGCTAAATATCTTAATAATATGATTTATCTTCGCATTAGTTGAGGAATAGAATATCCCGGATGTAGATTATAGTTTGGAATACTTGTATATATTTCACATACATATTTAGAAAAATTATTGTAGTAGTTCAATACATATAATTTGTACTACACGTCATTGATAACTTTAAAGTAATCTACATGAATGCATGGAATTTTATCTTAATGACTCATAAGTATAGTGTATTAATACAGATTATATGTATATATGTTCATAATTCCATATATTTAATTTCATTTTGCATGCAGAATCACGTGGCTTGTATATCCAAGTGTGAGCTTTCAAGGGCATCTATGAGTGCGATCAAGTGATGTAGCTGAATGAAAGTTAACCGTTCATGTAATTAGATTTTAGGTGTACGATTAGGTCCTTCCGAAAATGAATCCCAAACCCCTGAAAATTAATATATTTACCAACGTCTGGAGGAAAAAAATAAAAGTATGAAAAAATTATAAGTCGAATAGCATTTACTTAGACATTTTCGGGTGCAGTCTAATGCACTGGATAGGGAATTCTCGAAATAATACCGAGTACCATGAATTTTTAACGAGTGTCCTGAATAACATCAGTTTATAAACCTGGAAAACAACAACAGTTACATAACATTAAAGCTAAAGCATACAACATCCAGGGAACTAATTATCTGTTTAGTACTGCACTCAACCAATCAAAAAACGATAGAGGAATACTCTTGATTATCACTCAGCTGTAGAAAGCTGATCATGCTGAACAAGGTTCAAAATGTTAACGTAGTATTTCCAAGTAACAAGTCTCAACCTTGAAGCTACTAGATTAACTGATAAATTCTTGTTCATGTAATGATGAACATAAATATTTCTGAATTTTTTTCTCTTTTCTTTTCTCTTTAAATAGAGATCGCTGTGATATAGAATACGAAGGAGTACCACAGGATTGTCCTGATGATCCTATACCTAAAGAAATTTTGGAAAAGGTTATTTCAAAGATTTTTGTAATTTATAATTCTCCAATATCATGAGGTCATTAGAAACAAAAGTATAGGCCACCCACTTCATGTCAACTCAGAGGTCTAAAGTTATTCTTTTTTCTACAAGGTCTAGGGACTGTGATTTTGACCCCTCACCTGGGTCAGGGGCCCACACTAGTGAGGAGTACCATGATAAAGACAGCATAGATACCTGTCCTTCCTGGGTCTTAGTCATTGTCCAGTTAAAGTCAATCCTCGATGTGGAAGGTATTCATTTGCTTTGTTATGAGAGTCGTAGACTTTCACTACTTTTTCTTTCTTTCTTCCAATAGGAACGTTTCACTAAAATAGCTCTATAAAAATGATGCTTTTGTTATCCAGCATCTGAAATGGTAAACAGGTTTAAATTACGCTAACAGGTGGAACGTTTTAGAGAATGATAAACTAATAGTGGTCAGTGGGAACTCTGTAAGAAAAGTAGAGATACAGAAAATAAGAAAATGATTACATTAAAAAAGTATAACACCAAAGATTAGTCAAAATGACTTAATGTCCATCTAACATTATTCATGAATAAAGAAAAACAATAGAGAAACTTAATGCTAGAGTTAAGAATTAGAGTTAAAGTAAGGAAAGAACCTTTGCAACTGGATAATTTTCAGTCCGAAAGCAAATCCCTCCACCAATAAGCATCAGTTGACCAAGCATTGAGAAAATAGGACCACTGACCAGCTATTTCTTTTGGTTTAGGAGCCATCACAACCGAACACTCAAGACCCCATGTGTAAATGAGAACAAGATCTTAGTTCTTTAGATTATGTCAGATCACACCTAAGTCAACAGCAATCAAGTCTCCAGTAGTTCCTAAATGGAGTTCTTCAGATAAATTCACTTGTGCATGACCTCTTTAGTGAAAATCCTCGGAGTACTTCCAACTAAAATGAAACAGACATTTATACAACACTTTGTGGTTCCCCAGCCAATACTGACTTCCGGTGGAAATTACTTTAAGATTGATCAGCATTCCCAAACACACAAAATTGTTTCAAAACAATGGCGTTTTCTTAACCAAAAACAAGGAATTGAATACCTTGTTGAGTTGAGTTCACTTTTTTACAATAAAATTAACTAGGGGAGACAAACAAACTATGTATCTTTATTCATGACATTTTCCATATTAAAAATTGACGTAGTACTCCTGTTTGTTGTATTTTTGGTGGCAAATAACAAAAAGTCGACATATGACTTTTTCGCTAAAATATATACAAAAGACTTCTTTAATGAAAGCCTTTGCAAGAATACTTCAACTCCCTATTAGTAGAAAACACAATTATCCGAAATTATACTAAGTAGCACATCAAACTTAGTTACAAAATTCAAACCCTCAACTAAAACATTAGAAGAAAATTTTGATCTTACTTATATAAATGAATAGTAGTGTGAAATGTTTTTATTAAATAAGAAAGATTGATTCAGCGAAGAGTTTCTTTTCGGCGAATTCATTTTCAATGCTGTACAACCGCAAATATGTATGCTTATTTCTCAGGATGACGATAATTACAGTAATAGTGATGATAAACATCTGTTAACAGCAAGGTAGAATAAACAAAGGTACAAAAAAATTTTATTCAGGGAAACTAATAACACTTTTATTGTTAAAAGCTTGAATATATATCATGAAAATAAACAGAGAAGTTATAATTGGGGACGCATGGCTCAGCATGATAAGATAAAATGTTGAAACTAAGATGAAATTTAATAAGGAGAGTCACAGAAATATAAATAAATCAGTTTTTGGTAGAAGGTCTATATAGAAAATGGAAGGGGAGGATGGCTTCAATGGAAGAAAAGTATGGAGAAAAGAAGCGAAAGAAAATTATGAGACATTAAGACCATAATAGAAGAAGAGATTGCACCTATCTCTTTTAGACACATAATTCTGGTTTTCCCGGATATATGGCTATTACGTTGTCAATGTTAAGAATACGCAATATAACCGCCCTTGGCAGCCTTCTACTTACCTTGTAGATGACTTTGAAATCAGAGTCCGCTTTGATTGGGTGACCTGTGTCCACAAGGAGTTCGAGTATCAAGCTTCTTACTGAACCGTTTCTGTCTATTTTCAGCCACTCCAGGCAATGTTCTTGAATTCTGTTGGATAAAGTACGCATCGAACAACCTATATGCCTGGCTTCACATGAGAACTTCAGTTTATAACTTATCTAGAGGAAGAATAAAAATGTAGCTACGGCTATTGCCATTTCATACAGATATTCATCATTGTTATAAGGCGTATTCTTTTCTTCCTCATCAAAAACTGAGTTATCTAGAGGCAAGTAATTCGTCACTTACTAGAGAAAAATATCAGTAAATTTCTATTTGAATTTAAATTTAATTGAATATTTTAAACAAGTTGTATAGTTGTGAACACCTCTTAATCAGAAAATATATGTAATTATGAATATTGTCACCAAAGCGAAGAAACTATATCGTACCACTTATATTTTTCTGCGTACTGCATTCCAAAACACAGCATGTTTGTACAAATAAGGTCAAGTGTTATTAATTAAGTTCCCTCATGTTTTCCATATTACAACAAAAAATATAAAAAGAAACTGATATCACACTGCTTTATTGAGTAAAATAGTATTTCTGAGCAGTCCCACACTAAAGTGAAACGGCCGTCCAGTGCTCCCAGATGTTCCATGATGGTCTAGCATCAAGTGACTCATTAACTCAACGAATAAATTACTATAATATCCACAAAAACCCCTTTCTGATAATAGTAATGTTCACAATTTTCTAATAAAATAATATATATATTCAGTAGTTTTATGTCTATTGTACATGAAGAAATCACCTAATCCTTTAGTAAATACTTTTATTCACATGAATTAGTACTTGGATATTCAAACCACTTTGCTTAATCTTTTGGAAGATAGCTTTCATTGGCAACTGATTTTAACTTAAACTTTTCAATATTGAACACTCATGATAACATAAAAGATCAGAACCAGTAAGTTCAAAAATATAATCCTTTCTGTATTATTATTATTACCGACTTCAAAATTTATGAAATTGCCTCTGCGACTTATCAAAAAACTTCTAATCTCATTCTTTAAATATAGATTTTAAGCTTTGGTCTAGTTAATACAAACCAGTGTCGAACTGTTCATGATGATCTGGAAACGTTTCAAGTTTTGGATGCGTCTGAACCAGGGAATTCCCTTATATCAGTAAGTACATCAAAAGACAAGATTCAAATTGTCTATATAACCCATATATCATTAACGTATACTGAATTATTTTATTCAATTTTTCACCTAATTCAGTAAGTGTCTATTTTTGTAAAGAAATCTGGCGATGATAAATGAACGTAGATGATTGTGCGTTTGTCCAAATCAAAAACTTTTTTAAAGTATAGACACAGTAACATGGAAATTGGTGATAATAAACTAATTCATGATCTAGCTACTACCATGATTCTCTGATTATTAAAAAAATATCGTGATGAAGGTAAAAGTTTCGTAGTCTGTTCATTTACTGAAGTAGAAAAAGTCAGTATCAACACATGTAAAAGAAATTACGGATATTGAATACAGAATTTCATACTAACATCCCAACAGCTGACTATGACGTTAAAATATGAACATAAAAATTATCAGTTTGGCTGAATAAACTTATTTCCGGATACTTTAGGATTTGAAATAAATTTTTTGATGGGCTGACATTTTCTGAAGAACCGTCGGAATGGATCGTTTTATAGCTATCGTATGTTAGTGTAAAACTCCTCATCCGTATGAGCCTAAGATGCCACAGTGAAAACAAAGTTTTTTTCAGCCATCTAATTCAGAAATAATCCTGTGACCACGAACGGACCATTAGAAGTTCAAGTGGTAAACTATGGGCTGTGTAATCATTCATATAAAATGTGAGAATAAATCATCGATGACATTAGATAGAATTTCCGCCCTATCATGAATCGACTGAAGTCAGAAATGGTAACTAACGGATTTCAACTCACTGGCTCATCTGTAACGTGCCAGCTGCAAGAAAGGTAGATTCATGGGGTGCGTAATCCTAAAGAGTCAGTCCCAAGCAAAGGTAAAATCTTAACCCAATGCTTGCTGTTCATAAATGGTTTTTCAACTGATATCAAGGGTTGCGCAAGACCATGGATCAACTGAAATTAGACATTAACACCGCTAGATGCCGAATCAGTGGCCTGGAAGCTAAGCGTTCGCGTGCGAGGCCGAATATCCTGGATTCGAGTCCCGAGTGTTAAATCGTGGATGCTCACTGCCGAGTCCCGTACCAGGACGAAACGGCCGTCCAGTGCTTCAAGATTCTTAATGGTGGTCTGGCTTAGATCGACTGATGGGTTCAACCATTGATATCAATTTGTGATTTTGAAAAACCCATTCAAATTATATAATTACATAAGTTTTTTAATATACATAACTTTTTTAAACATCCATAAACTAAAAATTATTCAGTTAATTAAGTAAGCTGTGATAGTTTAGATAAGAAGCATTAATTATGGATAGAGAAATGTCGACTGACCTTAAGATTAAACAACTGGGGGTAACGCATGATGACTGGAATTAAGATGAGACATTTACAGAATTTAGCTTTTACAGAAAGCAACTCATTACGTGGAAAGTACGCCCGTTGTTGGGTTGAATATAGCAGGCAAATAATTCTTTTCTAATTCTAGCTACCATCCTTACATAATTAAATAAATGAAACTTACCTGTTCAGTATTTCAGTTCTAAACAAATGGAAATGTATGTCAACCTTCTAGGCCCTTGAGTTTCCACCCTCATGATGAAGGATCACAAACCAATTCTAATTCCTTAGTCTCTAGTTTTTAAAAATCATATAGTTTGCAAATTATCAATTTGGTAACCTAATATGTATATGAAATGAACATGCAATAGGATGATGATAAACTCCACTTTCGCTCGCAAACCTGACCTCACACCTAGCAACCAACTAAAATGAAGCGGGAATTATTATTTACACTACCGTAATCCATGATGAAGGGCATGTTTTGTTCTGTATCGTTTTTACTGGCTTACATCAAAAATATAAAGTTTTCTACGACGAAAATACCACCCTATCATGGTACGGACATGTCCAGTGTAGCGCACTCAGTCAGGATGGGAGAAAAATCACAACATAACAAAAGACGTACCTCGAATTAATTCTATAATAGAAATTACACTGAAATATCTATAATTGAGCATATACATAAACGTAAACATAACGGTAATTACTGACTACGATGCACTTAGATGACTTCACAACATGGAATTTATCCCCATCCCCATATTAACTTGTTTCCTTAAAATGAAATGCATTTTTCGTAATTTAATTATTGTGACTAACAAATTAATTGATTATTAAATGGACACCCTGATTATTACCGATAGGTAAACTAACTGATTAGAGATGAACAGCATCCAATACATTTTGAATTACAACACTATCAATCACGTGAAAATTAACGAAAATAAAAAATAAAAAACATCAAACGGAACAAAATAAAATAAACAATATAAGTACTTTTAAAACGAAAACAAGTTAAATCTTTAATGCTACCCAGGGTAGATACAAATATTAACACCGAATATTGTTCGCTAAGGTAGTGGTTCATAGTTCCGTACTTTATTGGCTGTCAAATGAATTAAATAAATCATGGAGAAATATATTAAAATGAACAGTAAAGATATGAGTAAATAGGGAAAAATAAATATGGTAATAACTACTCTAGCCAATATAGCACTCCTCATAAACTTATTTTCTACTATTGTGTACAACTTAATGTTTAGCTTTAACAGTTTTCAGTCGATGAATTTGTTACTTATGGACAACGTTACAAAGATAACTAAATCAAAAACGATAGCCAGTTTTATATTATGAGATTATTATTATTATTACTGAGTAAGAAAAAGAGAAGTCAGAGAAGAACATTTTCTTTTTGACGAAATCATTTACTTAAGCTGTACATTCACATATATATAGTTATATGGAAGTTATATGTCTATAGGAGAATAAAAAAAATGCATCATAAAATGGATTCGAGACTAAATAACAAATGAGGTTAACGTACTAATCAAGGGGTAAGGAGAATGTAAGACAGTCACTAGTTCTATACAGGAGCATTTAATCAATTTTAGCTTTAAACGGCAACTCATTATTCACTGAGCTATTGAGTTCATAGGATCACTAACCCGTTCAACGAAATGAAGTTATATATACGTAAGGGTTTGAGTTTTCTCGTTGTTGATCCTCTATTGTCGTATGTGCAACCTGAGGAGGTTACTTATATATTGCCTTTAAACATAAGTTTTAGTAAGGTCCCAATAGTGATTCATCAAATTCAGTCTTTAATATCAACGAGGAGAGAAATCAGTCCCTTACATACATATAATCGCAAGTATAAAGTATAAGCATAAATACTATCATTTAATGAGGTATTTCTGTGAAAAATCCTAGATTTCATTCTTTTTGTGATGATAAGTGCGCATTACTGAAGAATTTCAATCTAAAAATGAAACAACTTTCCATAACCCCTTGGCTATCAACTCTTCTGTACTTGATATCAGTCTATGAATATTTTTCTTGATAAACTTGTTTTAACGCTACATATCTTATGCTGTTCTGTTATTATCGCATGATTATTTTTATATAATCACAGGACAAACTTCAAGATATATTTACGAATCTTGAAAGTAATGGTCAATCATCAACACTCAAGAATTTACTACATAATATACATTTTCAAAATTTATTGATCAGTTCATTAACACAATTCAAAGGAATAGCACCGTTTTCAGAGCCATGGATAACAGCATTACAAACTTACTTTAATAATTCATTTTAATTATAGAAAAGATGAAACAATTTAAAGGACATCAATGGCAAGACAAATCATCAACAACTTTCTGAACCAATATTGAAAAGCATGAGTTTTTTTTCTAATCTTCACATGTTATTTTCACTTTATTTATTATGGCAAATTATTTCAATAAGAAATTGTGCTACATTTTCGGATTATCAAGGACAATTTTTGCTATTGTCACAATTATTCTACTGTATACGCTCTCGTTTCTCTAAAGCATTGTAGTAAACTTTTTTTGAATTCCAAAATAAATACAAATATGGTGACGATTTTCTAAACAGATATATTACAATATATCACAAACTGATTTCAGTTGAAAGTGTGAACTGTTGGGTTCCGACTCTATGGTCTAGAGGTATTATGACTAACACGAGAACTGAATTAGTGGGCGCTTTTTCATTTTCAATGGTCCTCCATCTGAGGTCAACTTATGACCAAAGTTAACTCTAGAATTTTGAATGATTATATTATTAAAATCTTGATATTCAGGTGTAATGTGATAGTTCAACCTGTTTTCCTCCCTCCGTACAGCGATCATAATTGACTGTGATCGGACTTAATCGTTAACACCTGACTATGTAGTCTAATGAGCAGTACTGTAATATCCTAAATGATGAGGAATGCCCTTAAATATTGATAAAAACACACGAACCTACTGAAATCTAGTTAGCCACAAAAAATAAAATGGTATGTCATAAATCTGACTGCTGTAATCGGGGCAAACAAAAACATCTTGGTAAGGTAACAATTTTCTTATACATATTCAAAATAATATGAGTTGAGAAAAATACTTCTTCCACCAAGCTGTTCATCATGGTTCTACACTAATATGTATGTTTTTCGATTAACAAGAAAGTAACTCCCAGTTAATTGGTAGTCTGCTAATTAGCAACTTTATAAACTCGGAAGTGTTTATGAATGATTAAAGGAGTAATTCAAAGGTGAAGGTCAGAGGAATAATTATAACATTCAGAATTTCTATTAATAAATGAATCGAAACATGTATTTATGAAAATGACATAATAAATTGTAAGAGATATATTTTTTGTTAGGAAGTTCTCTATGAACAATAACTGTTTACGAATTAGAAGGCAAATATTAATGCTAATTACGTTACAGTAAAGATACAACAGGCACGATCTGCTAAATAGAAAAGCAAGGGAATTTAAATTGTTTTTAACTAGCTATAGTCTATTAAATAGTATTAGATGAAGGTGTAAGCTATGCAAATATTCAAAGTTATAATGGTGGTTGTCCATATTTTTTTGGATACTGAGATTCAGTTTGCTAAGATGGATACCGGTGGATTCTACTGCCTATAATAAACATATTAAGACAAACTATAACAGATAACTCGGTTTTATTCAAGCAGACCTAATGTCTTTTATCATTTAGGTAAAAGGTCTTGACCGCTGTTGGTTACTCTTTCCCAATTGGTGGAGGATAATGTTCAGAAATCCTACAAGAGACTTTGTTTGTTGTGCAAGCAATATGACTAGAAACATAAGAGCAGTTGAACTGGTAAATGTACATCATCGAGGCAAATCCAGGTAGTTTATCTCTAGTTAAAAAGATCGGGCAATTATAGAAAGTGATATGAGGGTTAGCGATAGCAAATTTCTACAAAACCACTTTTACACACCATACTGTTATTTCACTGCTAGTATCATTTTTGAACTCTGGTTTCAAGAACAAAGATTTATTTATAAACTTTTTTTGGTCAATCCATACACTTATTTATAAGATTACTAAATTCATTTAGCCCTATTTGGATACTTTTGCACTCACATTTCGCACCTAATTAGTACATTTTTATCACACAAATGTATGAATGAACAATATTCTTTTCAATAATTTCTCATCAGGTTCTACAATTATAAATCCAAATTAATAATCCATAAAATTGGCCAGATTTAAGGCAAAATACATCATCATTTGGAAATTGTAATATGTGAATTGAGAATTGTTGTTTGTTATATAAAATCAATTCAGATCGTTAATGTTGGGGCTGTTTAATATAAAGTGTTAACTTGAATCAGTTTATAAGCGAAATGAAATTGTGCGATAAATGATCAAAATAAATATGGTCAACATGGGGTGAGAGAGAAAATAATGGAATGAAAATCGGAAATTACGCAATATGTAGAATAATATGAATTAGGTCAGATATAGTAGATTTAGGGGTGGATATTGAATAAATTCCTCAAAAGGTTATCATGTGTAATCATAATAATAATAACAATGATAAAGGTGAGAATCACAGTGGTAAAGATAATAGTAATATCACAGGTTGAAATCATGAGTCAATTGATGCTAGACCACCATGGAAAACCTGGAAGCACTGGACGGCCGTTTCGTCCTAGTATGGGACTACTCAGCAGTGCGCATCCACGATCCCGCACCCCGCGGGATTCGAACCCAGGACCTACTGGTTTCGCGCCGTTACCAGTGGAGTTCAACCAGGTCTGTTGTGAGATATTAGCTCACTGAAGACAATCGTGTACGGTGGCGCAACTTCGTGGATTGGTTGGAGTTAGACATTAACACCGCTGGATGCCGGCTCAATGGTCTAGTAGTTAAGTGCTCGCGTGCGAAACCAGTAGGTCCTGGGTTGGAATCCCGCGTGATGCGGGATCGTGGATGCGCACTGCTGAGGAGTCCTATACTAGGACGAAACGGCCGTCCAGTGCTTCCAGACTTTCCATGGTGGTCTAGCATCAATTGACTCATGATTTCAACCTGTGAAATTTCCAAAAATCTCCACAAAACCCATTCTGATAATAATAGTAATACTAATAAGATAAGTTTGGGACATAAAATGAACATTAATCAGATTACGTCACCATAATATAAAATTAATTATTAACTAGTTGGCCCCAAAGTTGGCCAGGGTAAAAGGAATGGTTGAACATACTCCTTTTGGATGCAAAGCTCTGGCTTTTTGATCCGAATAGCAATTGCTTCAGCCGTCTGTAGGATTCGCAGTCTGACGGAATTAGGTAGACTGTTGTTAACACGATAGATTATTGCAAAAGATTGCTCCATGTTGGCTGTACATCCTGTTTGAACTAGATGGTCTGAGATGGAGCTGTTAACAGTTTTGACTAAACCTTTCCTTAACCACACGGGGAGGTGCTCACGAGCTCGAATGTACAAATCCCTAGAACATATACCAATATAACTTGCTCCACAGGAGCAGTTGAATCGATAGATACAGAAGGTGGTGGCTAGTCTAGGTAATTTATCTTTCAACCTCGGAGTGATTATTGGTCGTCTGGAGAACATTAGTTGTAGTTTACCCGCATTAAAAGTCCTTTGAATTGATCTGCTTAACTTAAGTCTTAGCATTTTTAGCAGTCTTTTACCCAGTTATAGAAAACCCAGTATTTAAGTTGAATAATTTAATTATGTTCCTAAATGTAGTGGACAGTTGATAGTGTCTTTGCTCAAAGAACAATATTGCATCGTTTACACGTTTACAGTGCTCTCTTATGGAAATTTAGAAGTTTATACTTGGTAATATAACTGTTAGCAATGCGTTTTATATTTGTTTCGCGAACTATAGAAAATCAAAAGTTATTGGGACCTTTTACATTCATTAAGGATCGCAAAGTTACATGACACAATAATAATCGTTTAATTCAATGTGTTTTATACAATATGGAGTTCTCAGCACCTAAAGTAAGCGAAAAAATCTTATCCATGATTCGTAGGATCATTCCCAATAAGTAAGTTGGGTATCGAAACCAATTTCATCCAACTAAACGCTATCAAAGAGTGACAGTCACTTAATTTATAATAGAAATTATCCAGGAATAAAAAATAAAACACTACAACACACGAACCTCGTATGAATTTTAGTTTATGATTTCTAGCTCCTAAAAAAAGACTGTGGAGCCGATTCAGGATCATCTGCTAAAACTTCACAGACACACATACTCTTTTCTAAGTTGACTACATCTGGTACTGTAAAGAAAAATTTCCACCACACACGTGTAGTAGATGGCTTATTATTACTGAGTTGAAAAGCGTAATTTTATATCTCCCTCCAAGATTTATACAACCTTTATATCTAACTTATTCTACCTCTTATCAACTAAGTTTGAAACTCTGACCCAAATTGTCACACTTCACATTAACACAGAGAGGAAATTAATGAAATTGAAGTGAATGAACAACAATGTCGATAATTTATTAATTGTAAGGATTTATATTTGCTTGCAACTTACACTCAAGATTGGTTTTAATGGGTTCCCATAGATATTTTTTTCCCAGAACAGATTCATCAACTTTACCTACAGTTAGAAGTTTATTATATTTTGCGCAGTCCAATACGTCCTATTTTGAACTTGGCAACTGTATGTACCTGAATACCAGTTGATAATCCAATGAGCACTGGGTTCGAGTGCCCACGTAAACAATGGACAGATTATAAATAGAACAAAAGAAGCTTCCGAAATTTCGTCGGTAACCATTATTTAAAATGTCTATGGGAGTATAGGACGAAACGTAGGAAATGTAGTTTAAAAGCAACAAATAAAATCGATAAAAAGGACTATGGAATGATATTATAACTTAAAATTGAAAGGGAAGATAAAGAATAAATACATCTGCTCAACTGTGAACTATTTTAAACCATATTACCTTAAATTTCAAAATCAGGAACAAGATTGTCTCGCTGATAAATGTTAAAGGTTAACTAACCGCACATCTCATTATGGATTGATATCAAAAGGAGTGCTACTGAAAACTGGCCACAATCAAACATTTAATTTGTCCTACCTCTGACCTTTTCAATAACAAGCACCTACACCCCTCTCAGTGATCATGGTCAGAACTATTAGACCTTAAGCTAACCGCATAACGTTTGGATCACCGAATTAAAATAGTATGATTCACATTTTCAACTTCAGTCAGTTCACGGAAAAGTTATCGATACTAACCGATGATACCGCTGTCCAAAACTCCATACTTCTTAGTAA